GAATATTTTGCCATAGGTTAGAATAGAGAGCGATCGTATTCTCGAAAGCCCCGTAAAAAGCCCACGCGAGCGAGGGAGACAACTAATCGCTCTATTAAAACTCACTTTATGACAGCAGCAGTATCGCCACAGAGTACCTTTGTATAAACGTATCGCTAAGGCAATACGAGGTCGTCGGTTGACATGTGTCGAACAGTCGAGTGCGCGGGAAAATTGAAATAATTTGAAACAGTTTATGAGTTATTTTATTAGTTGATATTATTGATTGATTCAGTTTTAATAAGGTAAGCCCGGCTTTTCGGCTTTTATGGAAGCTTCGCCACTGCGCATCGTTAGTCGGTTTCTCTCCCTTTCTTCGTAACCCTCGGCCGTTTGATCTCTCCTGCCGAGGGCTTCATTCTGTTTGGATTTTTATTTATTTAGAAGGACCATGCTCGAATACAAAGCAGTGGTTGTATTTCGTATGGCGAGTGAAAAACCGCAGACCCTATTTACTACTGGTAATAGTAAATCCCATCTTATTTCTCAAGGATGACAACTGATTACGCATCAGCAGTTTGGTTCTTAATTCAATGTCGGTGTCTATGGCCACAAATCCACTTACTATCAGGAGAACTGTGTTGTACTTGTTGTGACCCATACTTTTGTACGAAAAAAATGGAATGCTAGCAACTGACGCATTATTGAAAGATGAAATATATCGCCAACAGTTGATTTCAAAAGGTTGTAGCAGACCTTCCATAACATTATACTAGATATCAGAGTATATCATTCTCATAAAGAATAATAGTTTAAAGAAGATCTGCTTAACTGTGGGTTCTCGGCTAGAATCCCAGGTGATGATGAATGAAAAATAAGATCAACATAGTCTTTCAAACATTTATTTGTCCTTAGTGGCAAGCATATCATAACTGTGAGTTCATTTATCACTTAGTAAGGCCAGATTGAAAAAAAAAATGGATATATTTTGACGCTCGAGAATTGGTACCTATATATTGAACGACGTATGTAATAGCCCCTCCACACGATGGGCCATCGCGATGGCCCACTATGATAGGCCAGCGTGTGGAGAGTGTAGTTGTGTCGTATGGCTTATGGCGCGTGCTATGGTCTTCGGGATGGCGACGGTGTCGGTTTTTCCGCCGCACATCAAAGGTAGTCGGCCAGCGATGGTGGAACGCATCTACAATATACACGTGGCCCATTCCACAGATTTGAGCGCTCGACGGTTGAATGTGGACGTTCATGTTTTATTTATTAATTAACGAATTAAAATTTTAGTCATAGAGCTACCAAAATCAGAATATATACATAATTATAATAAAATCGTGATAATAATATAATAAACCGTGCTGATTTTCCATCACAAAAGCCTTCTAAAGATATAAGAAAATAAATTACATAAATAAGAAAAAAAAAACTGAAAGGACTGAAAAAATAAAAGTCGAAAAATGTTTTACGTATTTATTCTATTCTTCAATGAAACAAAACTATTATTTCGAAAAATTGTTGAAACCAACATTGTATCATACAGACAATATCAATACAAAATCTATCTTTCTTTCTGCACAAATTAGCATATAAAATGCTTGGACTTTAACTATTTACATATGATAATTGCAATTTACAAATGTTGCCGATATTTAGTTTATTTTTCATACAAATGTAATCGATTTATATTTGTGACTAATTAATACATTAATCGAACTATTATTGGTATTTGAAAATTTATACACATTCAGAATTACTAATACGATGAAAAGGCAATCGTGTTTTAACAACTCAACATTAGCTATATTTTACACTTGAAAGTGTTTTGTTTTAAATTTAAATTAGGAATTTATTTTTAACGTTCACTACAAATTAAGTCTCCTATTCGACTTTACACATTTCCTTCGTGCGCTTACGCAAAGTATTTACATAGTTGTCGTATTTGTACACTCGTCTTTACAGAAGGTAACACACTGGGTGCATTTGGCAGAAATAAGCGCTAGCAAGCGCTTACAAGCGATGAAATAGTTTTCGGCCAGGACACGATTGCTACTTCAGTACTGTACAGCGCTGACACAATCTGCCATTTTGCTTATTTATTTTGTTTGTTTTGAAGTAGAGTTTATAAGTTGTTCTGTGCAATATTAGTTTTAAGTAATATAATGACATGAATAAACATATACATGTTATTAAAAATTCATGATTGGTAAGTTTTTAATATGAATACTTTACAAACATATATTTAAATTAGGTTAGGTTCCCCGGTTAAAACTAACTTCGTGTCCTAGAGGAAAATAGCTACTTACGATTTGACAGCGCTTACCGCTTACGATCGCCATTTTGCTTACAAGCGCTTGCTAGAGCTTTTTTCTGCCAAATGCACTCACTCTAAGTAAACAACTAGTTAAAAAATCCATACACTATTTTTCCACCCTTAGAGTTCGATTCGTTAACCCTTTTTGAGGTGGTGGCAAAAACTGCCACCACCTTTTTTTTATTAAATTAATTTTTATTTACGAACACACCCCTCACGTTTTTACTTAAATGGCAACTCAGATTCACGAACCAATCGTAACACTAGCTGTCATGTATTTTTTGACATTTGGTTTGACAGCTATATTTCGGCCGTTCAGAGAATGCGTTCCTGACACGTCGCGATTGAACTGACGACGTAACTTTGTAATGGCGTTGCAGTTACGATAAAAATATTTTTGCTTGTTGTTTACCGTTTTAACAATTGATGAGCATTAAAACAACATTATTATATCAATAATCAAAGAATGTTATAATTTTCTGCCAAACTGAGGGTCAAATAACTTGGTAAACAATATTTTCTAAATCTATACTGCGCTATTACAAGGTTATGTCAGCGCTTTATATTTGTGTGCTGTGCTAACAATAACAGGCAATAACAGTATCGTAATCTGTTCTTATAAAGTTATACTTCATAAAATAATAAGTTTTGCTTTTCTTTTTAAGAATTTGAAAATAATGGACTATAAGATAACTTTTATTAAATATAAAAATAAAACTACGACCAAACCGAACGCGCGAAAGAAAGTAGCATTTTTATATTTAGGTTGAAAATGGTAACCCCAAATGGCGTTATGGGCCGCCATTTTGTGACGCTAAAACAGTCGTCTGTTGTCGTTTCATGCGCATAGACAAGTGTTTTCGATCTGTTTTTATTTGATTACCCGGCTTTCGTTTAATGGACTATTTCTGCTTTTCAAACTCACATCGGCACTAAATCGGACTTCGATTGTGTTTTGTATTGCGTTCTTTTTACTTTTGATGCATAATAATGCCTAAACGTGGACAAACATTGAAAAGTGGAGCCTGTGAGTTAATCATCAAGCTGTAAGATTACTTTTTTAGTTACCTGTCGAACAAGTACAAGAACGCGTCTCTCAGGCGCTTGGAGTTAGCAAACGAACGAAAACAAACATTAATAAAGAAAAGTTCGGTTCTACTGGCACGGAAGATAATATTTTACTTACTCCGAAGAAGAAACGTAGAACTAAACCCGTAACAGATATTGACACCTTTGACGTCGATGCAATCAGAAATCATATATATGGTTACTATTCCAGAAATGAATATTTCAACAGGAAGAAGCTTTTGGCATCGTTAAGAGAAGCTGGACTGTTTAGCGGGGGTAAAACTGCTTTAACCAAAATCTTAAAAAATATTGGTTTTTCGTATAAAAAACAGTCAAAAGAAAAATTTTATTAGAACGTTACGACATAATTTTAAAACGGATAAGTTTTTTGAGAGAAGCAAAAAATATTGATTACTGGGATAATGTCGTGTTCACTGACGAGACATGGCTAAACGCCAATCACACGGTTTCCCGTTCTTGAACGGATGATACACAAGCGTCGACGTCGAAAGTACCAATGGGTAAGGGGGCCCGTCTGATAATATGCCACGCAGGTTCCGCAAAATACGGCTTTGTGGAGAACGCGTTACTGGCATTTCAATCAAAAACCACAAATGACTACCACGAGGAAATTAATGCCACTACATTTAAAGAGTGGTTCCAGAACGTGCTTTTGCCCAGCCTGCCAGAGCCTTCTGTAATATTCATGGATAATGCCTCCTATCACTCGGTTCAAATACAGAAACCACCTACCCAAGCTAATAAAATAGAAGAAATGGTGGCTTGGTTACAAGCAAAAGGCATTGACGCAAATATGCAGATGCTAAAACCAGAGCTAATTAAATTAGTTAAAGAAAATGAAGCGGCAAATGTGCGATACGAAATCGACGAACTGGCTCTGGAGTACGGTCATCGCGTTCTAAGAATTCCACCGTATCATTGCCAATATAACGCGATTGAGCTAATCTGGGCTCAAATAAAAGGTTACGCCGCCCGCCAAAATACTTCCCCGCCATTCAGCACGAAAAAGATGATGACCCTATTAAAAGAAGCCTGCGGGGAAGTCACAAGAGATGACTGAGCAAAGGTTGCTGAGAAGACTAAAAACCTGATTGTGGAACATTTTGACCGAGATATCAGGATTGATTCTGTTATTATGATGTTGTTATTATCATAATATAATTATACATGTAGGCGAAGATGATGATGAAGACACCACCTCCTCAAGCGAATCGGAGTCTGATTAATATTCTGTACGCACATTCAATTCAATGTACTTTTTTGCATAGAAATACAGATTGTAACTTTGTAACAAAGAATAAATAAAACAATTTTATTATATTAATATTACCTTTTTTTGGTTTACACTTAAATTACTAAAATATAAATTTTAAATGATTCCGCCAATTTAAAACGAAAATAATCTTAAAAATAACGCGGCGGTTCATTTTGGAGGAACGGTAACGAACTCAGTGTTATGTTGTGCCCATTACTAGTCGTGACTAACTGATAGGTGTCAGGAACGCATTCTCTGAACGGCCAAACTATAGTCGTTAGAAATAGTGCAAAGAGGTTATTTTCTGTGCTGTATCTTCATCCAGTTGAATCTTTAGAAAAAGGCATCATTATGGTAAGTTTTTCTTCTAAATCTTTTTATTTATGTTTTATATTGTATACATCATTGTATTTTGCCGATAATAACTAAAAATTTAACAAAAAAAATGTTAATTATTCGGTGGCAATATTGCTGCCACCACCTTATACCTTACATATTATTGGTGGCAATAAATTAACCACTGCCTTGTTATTATTGCAGGCGGGGTTGCGGGACGATCAAATAGAGGAACAGTTAAAACAATTATTCGGCTTGGAAAATCCTGAAGAGTCTGAAGATAACTATGAAGAAGATGATTTCAGTCGTAACTCCTATTTACAGCAATTACTTGAGACATCAGTAAATAATGAGTCTGAACACTCTGTTACACCATCTAACACTATTAATTCTCCAGCTTCAGAAACCCAAGCGGTCGACAATGCTGAGCCATCGTGTTCTGATGTGTCTCCAACGGAATTTACAAGCCTTTCTCTTCAGTCTACTGTAACAAACTGCAGTAGCGAAGATGATGATGACACTTCCATAACACGCCGCCATCACCGAAGCGGAGTAAGAATTTCGAGCACTTCTGAATCTGATTCGGAATCCAATCAAGATGAAGAGGAATGGAAGAAGGTAATGTGGAGTACTGAGAGGCCTAATTCAGAAAGATTTTCTGACATTCTATTAAAGCCGTCAGTATTTTTTCCTAGCCGTACAAGTCCACTGGCATACTTTTCCAGATTTTTTTCTGATGATATTTTAGAATTAATAATGGAACAAACAAATTTGTATGCCACACAGCAAAGAACCAAGCATTGGGAACCAGTGACCGTGATGGACATTAGAATGGTGCTAGGTATAATAATAATGATGGGATTACATAATGTTCCTACTTGGGACTTATACTGGTCCACTGATCCCTTTTTTCGAGTTGATGAAATTGCATCTGTCATGACTTGCAAAAAATTCAAAAAAATCATGGAAAATCTTCATTTAGCTGACAACTCGATAATGCCTAGTAGAAATGACCCCCAGTATGATAAATTATATAAAGTGCGCCCATTATTAGATATGATGAATAATGCTTGTGAAAGAGAAGCCAGATCTACGACTAGTCAGTCTATTGATGAAGCTATGATAAAATTTAAAGGCACATCATCATTAAAACAGTACATGCCGCTCAAGCCAATAAAACGTGGATTTAAAGTTTGGGTGAGAGCCGATAGTGCCACTGGTTATGTATATCAGTTTGAAATTTATACTGGAAAAAGTAGTGACAACAGTCCCGAGTTGGGCTTAGGTGCTAATGTAGTGAAAAAAATTAACCACCCCTCTAATTGAAAAAAATGTTCAAGCACATGTTACATTTGACAACTTTTTTCCTCATTTGCTCTAATGCAGTATCTTTATGAGCAAGGTATTTACTCCACTGCCACCGTAAATTTTAACAGAGCTGACTTACCGAAATTTATTAAAAATAAAGAGAAAGCTAAAGTGAATCTGAAAAGGCTTGAAAGGGAACAGTATAAATGGCGGTTAAAAAAAGATTAGCATTTATTGTGTGGAAAGACACAAAACCTGTAACTGTTCTCACAACTGCATTTCACCCAACTTTAGTCTGAACATGTGCCAGAACAATGAAAGATGGGACAAGTAAAGAAATAGAGTGCCCTGAAGCAGTCAGACAATATACTCAACGAATGGGCGGAGTTGATCGCTTTGATCAAAAAGGAGCACCTATGATGTTGGGCGGAAAAGTAAGAAATGGTGGCGACGCATTTTTTACTTCAGTATTGATTTGGCAATAACGAATGCATATTTGTTATATGAAAATAGCTCGAGAGTTCCGTTTCCTCTGTCAAATTTATCATTTCGATTAGCTATTGCAAGAGGGCTGATTGACAACTGCTCTTCAAGAAAGAGAAAAATCGAATCGCCTTCCAAATTTCGCAGCAAAAGTAAAAAAGCCAACACCTTCGAGGCTGTATCAAAAAGTCATCGGAGTACCGGACGAAATTAGATTTGCTAATGTCGGGGTACACATGCCTCATGAAATAGACGGGGGGTACCGTAGATGTCGGGCGTGCAGTACCAAAGAAAAGAATGTACGTAGCAAATTTATATGCAGTCACTGCAAAGTTCCTCTTTGTGTTTTCCCATGTTTCGGTGCATTTCATGCCAAATAATAAAAATTAAGTGATACGAATAAGTCAGTCATTCATGTTCCTACTAAAAGTGTAATAATATCAATTAATAAAATTTTAATGATTTCTATGTATGTTTTATTTTGGTACTCTAGACAGGTAGTGGCAATTATATTGCCACCAAATTTCCCACAATTTTCACTGTGTAAAAAAATACTATAAAATTTAAAAAAATATTATCTATAACATAGAAAAAACTGTTTTTTCATATCTGCCGCGGTTCTCTCGGCCTTAAAAAGGGTAAAGCGAGATCCCACGCGATGACCCGTCGCGTGCGTCCCTCGCACACGCTGCGGGAGTGCACCACGCCACCGTGCACGTGTGCAGTCGTGCCGACATAATGGAGTATCTATTAATTTGTTGTTGACGAGCATATATAGTAATAATTTAATATAATAAATATTACCTTTCATTTTTATGCATACAAAACATAATTATAATTAAGGAAACATCTACTTTCATTTCATTGCGAACATGAACATCGATATGTAACGCGTAAAGTCGGCGCGTAGAATGGAATAGTAAATTAATTCTATAAAGAAAGAGATGTTCATCAATAAGTTACTCTGAAATGATATCTTAAATCGAGTGTAGTTTTACGGCGCGTACAGCTCAAGTACCAAGGTACATTCATTTTATAAAAAGCCCGCGCCGTTACGCGTGTAGCAGGAGCCCGCATGACGATCGGTGATCTAGAATTTTCAACAAACAGAATTTCAACGCAGCAGACGCCCTTAAGATAAATTTTTCTTAAAGAACCACCCCTATAGCGTATATTAAAAACTGAGTCATTGATCATCGCGTAACGTACATATAAAACATACTAACGAATTAAGAATCGCATTCTTTTTTGTAGTCGATCCAACTAGTTCACTATTAACAATTTTATATTTTAATTTTATAAAACATTCGTAATTCCACAATTTTTTCATGCCTCAAGAATGCGTGAAAAGTTTACATATAAACTGATTTAGGCAAATGACAATAATTAAATAATTGGATATATACATGTGCTGTGCCTTAACACAATACAGTGTACAATACAATAAATAATATCACTAACTGCATAAATTTTTATGGGCACATACGCAAGCGGCATGCAACGTAAGGACAATTCAGTATGAAGTTTCCTTCAACACTGACGTACGCTGCATACTGACGTCGTTTGTCGGACCTCGATGTACTTGTCCGTGTATCTCGCGAATGGTAAACAAAATTGTAGGTTCAAAGGTGGTTCACACAAGGTAACATTACGTCCGTGATTCTAGCACGATAAAATATGACGTATGTGTGCGGTTGCTAGTTAGTTTTCAAAGTGAACTGATGTGGGTAAAACCGAAATTGACATTTTCATTTCACATGATAAACGAGTAAGAAAATTTTATAATATACAACAAGCAATGGAAGTAATTTAAAAACCCAGACTGGGTTCAAAAAGTTTGCCGAAAAGAAAATGTTTCCCTTCCTTTTTTATTTGCAGATGCAATAAATATAAATATTATGTTACGACACCTCATACGTTAGAATTTAACAAGCCATTTAGGTGACAGAGCGTATCCGAACTCCCGAAAAACATTACTCTCTTTCTGGGGAAATCGGGTAAAACTTAACACATGGAAACGGGTAGATATTGAGGCCAGCGCCGTCACATCCCACGGGGCGCGGGTCTAGCAGTGGTGTAGCGGATGCAGCGCGTGCAGCGGGTGTGGAGCGAGCGGGGCGTGCGGCTATGGCGGCGGCGGCGCGGCGGGCGGCGGCGCGTCCTGCGGCAGCGTGAAGTTGGTGAGCAGGTCGCGCACCGCCGGCCACAGCGTGCACTCCGAGTGCGGCTGGTTGAACTCGCCGAACCTGTTCAAATAATTTCTTATTACTATACTCCATTTTATTAGTGTTAAGTGCGGAGTAAGTAAAAATGCCGATACAGGACAAATGGATGTATTCTTCCACACAAACAACAAGTTTATGATAATTACGTCATCCAAAATCGCTAAGCTTCTTCGGTGAAGACCTTAATAATCGCAGATGTCATAGTTCGATTGCTCGAAGTCGCTTTCCGGAGCGGAATAGAGATCATTTTCTCGTTCTCGAAATAATTAACTCCCCGATCGCCGGTACACGCTTTTATACTCGATTAGTTTCAACCGGAAAGTACTGGAAAACTTGAAATTAAAAGAAAAACGAAGAAAAGACTTTGTTTTACATAAACATAAGGTTGCGTCTTGCCTGCATCAATAATTTCTTCTATTTCTATGCCTACACATTTTATTACTTAGCAAAGGTTATTGACTCTTATCATCGAGAACGTTCTCCTGCAACGTGATGCAATACACAACTGACCGTCGTAACAATAGCATTAAACAGAAGTTATTAGACACTCTTCATAACAAAAGTACAACACATAGTTACTATTAATGGCCGATTTTACTACACCTCTTTAACATTCTTAGCGTCTCTCGCCATATATTTCTCAACCCTTTCAAAAGTTCAAAACAGTCAACCAATGAAATAGAACAATACAAAAACAACTATCTCTTTTAACTATCTCTTTTAATTCATCATACAAACATCCTTTTCAGACTAAGTTTCATTCTCACAGTTATATAAAATCAGTGTTGTTGGCGCAATGAAAGCAGCGTACGAGATGAGCACATTTAAATAAAAAAGCATTAGGCTTATTTGAAGCTTAACACTTACAATAGCAAGCAAAGTCCGCGTTAACTTGTCTCTGGATTGGCGTTTATTACCAATTCAATGTAAATCGTAATAAAATAATACTCTTAACAATTTCATACATTTGCAATATTATCAAAAGAAGCAAACAAACAATGAAGAGGGGTCAACAAACATAACCATTCACGATAACACCAAATTCGAAAACTACTAATTTGTGCGAGCAACACGACTCAACATTACATAAAGACCGATTTACACTTCGACAAGTACAGTAGCGAGTTAACTTGCGAACCTGGCGAGTTAAGTTTGAACCTCGTTTGAACGGCAATAACGTCGTTGTTGTCTTCTGCAGGGCATAAATGCCGTGCAGGTCTCGGGCCTCGGGGTGTACCCCTTTACCCGGATGTTCCTCACGGCACACTACAATGTGCCGGTCCTGGGCGCCTTGATGTTAAAGGCGTTGCTTATAACGACTATTGTCGCAGTCGGTAAATTTGTAATAAAAGGTGGTTATCTAAAAATTGTGTTTAAATAACACAATTTGTCAAAGTTGGCCTTTCTGCGGCATTGAGGGGTTTACTCGGACTCCCCTAATCTATATAGGGAGGAGTTCTCTTGGATAAGGTCGCCCGTCCGGCGGCCTTGCATGCAACGGCGCGAAGCCGTTGAGGTGTTCATGTGGCCCGTTGTCGGCGCGGTCAAACATACCGCGCGCCAGCCGGACCACGAAATCATGTAGGCTCTCCATCTTGAGGTTGGCCGCTATGACGTCATTACGGACGTAGCGACCCGCACCGACTATGGTTCGTAATGACAAACTCTGCTGGGCCTGAAGTCGCCGCTTCTGATGATCGCTCAGGAGTGCATACCAGGCCGGAGCAGCGTATGTTAGCAGGGGTCTTATGTAAGTTTTATAGATGGTTATCTTCGACTTTGTCGGTAACTTGGATGTCAGGACAGGACGTAGCATTGCCCGCGCACATCGAGCTTTGCGTATAGCAGAGTCAACGTGCGCAGTCATACGCAACATCCTGTCAATCCGACATCCAAGGTAGGTCACGGCCTTCTCATATGCGATCTCCTGGCCTCCGAGGGTTAGCGGTGGTGGTAGATTTCTATAGCGGCGAGTGAGTAGAGCGGTCGTCTTGCTAACATTGACGGCCATCCTCCACTCACCCAACCATGGTGGCAGCAGGTCCAACAGACGTTGCATCCTGGCAGCTGCTATGTGGGCTCTTCTGGACGACGTGAAGTATGCGCTGTCATCCGCAAACAGTGCTAGTTCGACGTCGTCCTCCCATTCTTGCAAGTGTCCTGCCAGGGTGGGTATGTCATTAGTGTACGCCGCGTACAGGGCTGGAGATAGACAGCTGCCCTGTGGCACACCAGCTGCTATGGTCTTGATTGCGGACTCGGCGTCCTCTACGCAGACGTAGAACTTCCTGGCTTCCAGGAAAGACGCCACTAGCCGCAATATAGCAGGAGGGATACTTGTTTGCACATCTAATTTATAGAGTAATCCTGTGTGCCACACCCGGTCGAACGCTTTCTCGATATCGAGAAAGACGCCCAACGATATGCGGCCACGGTTGTGTTCGGCCGCAAGCAGGTGCAGCACTCTGGTCAGCTGTGTTGCTGTTGAGTGTCCCCTCCTGAATCCATGTTGCTCCGCCCGAAGTTGGATGCACGGGCGGAGACGTCTTAACAGTAATCTTTCGCACAGTTTAGCTATATGCGGTAGCAGCGTGATCGGCCTATAGTTGGCAGCTCTACGCCTGTCCTTCCCGGGTTTCGGCAAGACGATGACTTTGCCTTTCTTCCAGTCCTCCGGGAAGTGGGATGTCCGCAATATTCCATTGTAGAGCCGACCTATCTCTACAAGGACTCTATTGGGCAGCTGTCGTAGTGCAGCATTAGTAATCCCGTCGTGCCCCGGCGCCTTCCTCGGTTGCAGGCGGGTTACTGTCCTCCGCAGTTCAGCGGGGGAGATGAACCACTCTCCTGCAAGCGGTGGCGCGGGCGACGACAGGAGCTCCTGCACGCGGCTTTCTTTCCGTAAATGGGATTCCAGGAACTCCGCACTTGTAGGGTTCGGCATAAACTGCTCCTCGAAGTGCTCAGCTAGGATATCCGCTCTGCCCTTGGCATCGTAACGTTGAATGCCCGCGTTGTTGGTCAGCGGGCAAACAGGTGGTCGAGTTTTCGTTAACTGCCGGTTCAATGTGTAGAGCGACGCGTGCTGTTCATCAGCTTTCCATATGCGCCGCTCCCAGGCCTCTCCTCTGTGGGCCTGTATTGCAACCGACAGTTCGTCTGCCAAGGTGTTCAATTTTCTCTTTACTCTAGGGCAGCGGGTACGCGCCCAGAGCTTCCTCAGCGCTCTTTTATGATTTAGCTGCACGCGTATCTTTAGCGGCAGCTCCTCCTTCCTTCCCGAGAGAGGGACGATCGTAGAGGCCGCGTTGGGGGCCTCCTTGATGCTCGTGGAAATTCTGGTTGCAGCGGCCTCTACGTCGTCCGCTGAGGTGATCGGTGTATGGACTGGAGGTCTCTCCTGCAGGTGTTGGTGGTAGAGCCTCCAGTCGATCTTGGTCTTACTGGCTCTGGGCGGTGAGGTCACTGCCTTAGTGCCAAGGGTTATCAGAATCGGGAGGTGCTGTGTATTCAGGTCATACAGCACTTCTACCACTACTGGATAGTTGACGTTCCTAGTGAGCACGATGTCTAATACATCCGGACGCTTCCTATGGTCGCTAGGAATATGCGTCGGTTCCTCGGGACCTAGAACGTCATAGTCGTGGTGTTCAGCGTCTTCGTATAGTTCACGACCCGGCGGGGTGATCATTCTGGACCCCCACGCCGGGTGTTTGGCGTTCAGGTCCCCGGCGATGATGGTGGGTGTTGTGCCTTCCATTACCGTCCGGATGTCTGAGGAGTGAAATGGAGTCCCTGGCGGGCGGTATGCTGCAAAGATCCTAAGTTCCTCGCCCGCCGCCTCCATTTTTATGCCGATGGAACGCATCGTCTGGAAGTCTGGCAGTTCCAGCTCCTGGTGGACGATGTCTCTCCTCACCAGGATCGCTGTCCCTCTATAAGCGACCCCTTGAGGATCGACCTCGTCCCTCCTGTATATGTGGTAGTTAGGCAGCTTAAGATGCGTTGATGGTCTTAATTTAGTTTCACCCAGCAAGATCACCTGGATGTCCTGTTGCTGGGTGAGAGTGCGGAGTTCATGGATCCTTTGACGGATCCCGTCCGGGTTCCAATATAACAGGCGCAGGTTGCTATCCTCCATAGTGCCTTGCCAGTAAGGATGCCAGCGCCTTCATGACGGCGGTAACTGGATCAGTCCCGGCCCTTATGTCGGCCAGGACTTGTGTACCGACTTCGATGGCTATGCCTACCAATCTGTGGATGGCATCAGCCGTCTCGAAGCCGGACGCTGGTGGTCTGCGATCTATACTACGCTGTGAAGGCACTGGTCTCGGGGCTTTGGTGGTAGTTTTCCTTTGCATTGAGCGCGCTCTGTGCGTAGAGCGAGCTCTGCTTTCTGGCAGGGCCCTTTCAGGTGCTTTACCTGCCGTAGGTGGTGCTGGTATTCTTGTAGCAACCTGCGCCTGGGAGGCTATTGGTCCTGCAGTCGTAGGGGTAGAGGTGGTTGCAGCCTGAGGAGGAGGCTGCTCCGTTCTCTTGCTCCTGTTCCTCCGCCTCTTCCTCCTGGAGGGTTGCCTCTCAGTGGCGTCGTTGGCGGGAGGTCGGAGAGTCGCCCCGGTGGTTGCCCTTTCATCTGTGGGACCAACCGTTTCTGATGGTACTGCAGGAGGGGGTGGGGTGGGGGGGGGGCTGGTTGCCTACCCTTCCCCCTAGTAATGGTAGCCCACCCGTCCTCCTGTATGGTGACGGCCTTTGGGCGACTTGAGGGGATCCTCTTTGGGTTCTCCGGTAGTAGCCCAGGTAATACGATCCCCTGCTTCCTGGCTATCCTCCTCAGGACCGGGCAGCGGCGATCGTTGGCTGTGTGGTTCTTGGCGCAATTTGCGCACTTTGGTTCCTCCTCTCTACCCCTTGGGCAAAGGCTGGCAATATGTTCACCGGCACAGCGAACGCATTTCACTGGCCTGAAACAATTAGCGGAGGCATGTCCGAAAGCCTGGCAACGGTGGCATTGTGCCGGTCCGGTCTTCCTCTGCCAGGCTTCGATGACGACTCCTCTCATATATAGGAGCTCGTCGAGTTGGTAAAATTGCTGTAGCCGTTCCAGGCTCAGATGCTCCAGCTGTGCATAGTAGAGGCAGCCCGGTCTGCCCCTACGTGGTGGTATGGCCTTCACATAATTGATGGGGAAGCCTTTTGCCCGAATAGCCTCCTCAATCAATTTTACGTCGGTGCCCACAGGCAGGCCACGGATGCCCACTTTGGTGGGCTTCTCCTCTGCCGGTGTGTAACAGTACCACGACATTGTCTTATCCTTTTCGGAGAGTTCTACCATGTACCTCTGTATGGTACGGAACTCATCCGGGCTCTGTGGAGTGAACCTAACTCCTTTCCCGAACGGACGGGCATTAGGTGGATGGCCCAACTTCTCATTAAGGACCTTAAAATGCCTGGTCCAGTCCGGGAGGCATTCTGCGACAATCGGCGGATATCTTTTCTCTTTTTCCTTCTCAGTTGGAGGTTGCTCCGCCGATTGCGGTCGTGGTACTGCCGGGGCTGCAGCCATGTGGGCATAGCTCGTTGATGGGCGCTGTCCATCATCATGAGCTAACCCGGACGGATTGGTAGTTTGTACCGGAGATGACTTTCCGGCCGATGCAGCTAGGGTTGCATATGTTGTCGAGCCCCAGCTGTAGGACTCCTCACCTCCTTGCTCAAACTGGGCCGAGTCGTGACTGCGTCGGTCCGGTGAGATGGATGGTGGCTGTTGCGGTGGTGATGGTGACTTAGGAGGTGAGGTATGGACCTTCTTCCTAGTCTCCGCTTGGGGCTCTTCATCATCCGAAGACGCTGATGATGATTCCGATGGTTGTCCAATACGCTGCCTCTTCTCGTAGAGTGAGGCTTCGGTCTCAGGAGGCGTATGCCTTCGTGGCGTCTTCATGGCCCGCTGAGGCTGAGAGGGCAGCGGTTCACGCCCAGTCGTACACTCAGGTACGATGGGCGAGAGTGCAACCCTAGGTGCGGACTCCTTACCCGGCGACGAAGGTTTCCGGGTGGGTATTTGGGAGTAGGATGAGACAACTCTCATCCTCTCCGGGTTAAAAATGTCCCTATAGGCGATGGGTCTATCCAAAACGCCTGGTCGGTCCGGTGGTTTTCTTGCTCTCGGAGGAGGTTCCCCCTTATCATTCCCTGACATCCTAACCTACCAGTCAGTGTCAGCGGTAATCTAATTGAGGCCCTATCTAACTTCCAAACGATCGGCAGCAGATGTTGATGCGCGACGCGGATGGTGGTGGTATTGTTATAAGGACTGTTCACACTATGGGCACTGCCTACCCCTTTCACAACGAAAGGGTTGGGGGAAGTGCAACGGTGGCACTTTAATGCGCGACTAGGCACAGAATGCACGAAACGCATAAAGTGCCAAGAATCACCTAGGGGCCGGTGACCTCGACGCCTCACGGAATCACGGGACTCGACGTTCGGCGGAGTATGTCGTACCGGCGGTTAATTGCAGCCACTGTATACTGCAAGTAACGCACACCTAGGAGATCCTTCATAACGGCAATAAGCGAGTTAAGTAACAAGTTAACGATTAAGTTGAACGGGATAGCCGGCCGAGCTATTTTTCGGCGAGTTAAGTGCGAAGTGCTGCCCTCCCGCGCGTCTCCCGCCACCCGCAAATAGACTCGTCGTTCGTGTAAACGAGTCAGTTTAGTTCAGTGTGTAAGTTGACAGGACGCAACGTTTGCGCGCCAAAACGTACAATTGTGCTTTTATAATTAAACTGGCCATAAAGTTTGTACGATATTGTTTATTGAATATTTATACGTTTTATATTGAGTTTTAATAATAAATTGGACGGAAGATATCACGCATAAATTTGTACAGGAGTATTTAGAACACGAATGTTTATATAATAGTAGAAGTTCAAATTGTAAAATTAAACCTGTTCGAGCTGCTACACTCGTGAAAATTCTTAAAAACTTCTTTAACAACAACCGTTAATACTTCTCTGACTGGATCATTTAATTCTTGATGTAATCCTAGAACCATCTTATACCAAAACCGGAAAAATTCTGTAGTCTTGAAACGTCATATTCCAACGAACTCTATGAACTAATGTCCTTAACTAAACTCGTCTCGAAGACATTTGAACGCCACTGCCTACTTAACCGTTTAGTGCCAACTGTCCTGTAACTAAACTCGCTACTGTACTTGTCGAAGTGTAAATCGGTCTTAACTATAAGTAAGCTTACCACTTACGCTGTCGTACAAAAACATTTGTCTTTTTTGTAAAAAAAATGTCAACAGAATTGGAAATATATTTTTTTTAGATATCTTTTATTGTTATTTATTTGTTTTTTTTTTTATACGTATAGAACTTTTCTTATGTACTACTGGCGCATTGAAATAAACACTGCATATCCTCAATTTTAAAATAAAGTTTTAAATTTTAATTGTCACCGCTTGAGATGCAGGTTGACGGCGACGAGATGCGGCTGCGCATCCCGCTTGTCGGCCAGCTGCGTGCTGTTGTTCTGCACGTCGTACACCAGCGGCAGCACGAGCTGCGTGTCTCCGCGCGTTAAGCAAATCTGTAATGATATTTTATCCAATTATATAACATATGGATATATTCACCTCTCTTTATATGTCACAATGGTCGAAACATTATTGCAATTACCTTATTTGTAACAATTATAGCAATATAATTCACGTGATTACATCTAGGGGAGCTTCAGCACATACCGATAGCACACATATGATTTCTATTTTAGCTCAGCTTCTGTGGTAGTGCCTCTCAGGGGAGTATATTTTTGGCGTACTGGCCTTTATACATTGGAAAATTATATAGTCGGAAATATTGGATTTCGATTTTTTGTGTAATATTGATTTTAATTGATTGCGACTTTTGCTTATATCTTCTTCTTCATCAGTTCATAAAAATTTAGCGCTGGTCATGAGCGTCTTCCATTTCAGTGAGGATTTGATTTAAACACACAAATGTATAACGGGCAGCAGCGTAAAAGTGCAAGATGTGTGGTATTGAGAGTTAAGACATCGATGTCCCACCTGCTCATGCATGAATAGTTGGTTGGGTTAGTTGGTACTTACAAAGAAGAGTATCTTGTGCTTGGCGAGCAGCACGGCGGGGTGTCCGGCGGGCACGATCTGCGGCGCGGCGGGCGGGATGCGAAGCGCCCACTGCAGCTGCCACAGCGCGGGCGCGACGGGCGCCAGGTCGGCGCGCATCAGCGCCACCAGCGACGGCAGTGCGGCACCCGGCGCGCCCCACGCACGCGCCCATCCGTGCAGCGCCGTCGCACGGAACGGCGCCACCGCCACGCGCTGCTCGAAGAACTTCTCCATCACCTGCGCAACACACAATATCATTCATCAAATATTCATTCATATCTTACTATATATCAAACTACACAGAACTCTACTAAACTAATTAAAGTGGGTAAGAATACCCTCGCCCACATCCGTTCAATAAAATAAAATTATGTGTCTTACCAAGTTTGAATAGCACCTCCCGCCACTACTATTGCAAACACCACCTAGTGTGGCACTACACTAGGAAAGACACACAATCGACAATAATACGTGTTTCGTCTCTACACGAGGCATCCTCAGATGATGTAGACTCTGCGACGGCTGACCACTAAGAGACGAGCTAAAACAGCTGTATTAGCAGCTTTAATTTAATATGATAGATTTCCACCAGGTAACACCTATTAATTATTTTACTAAATTTAGCAAATAATAATATTTGCCAAATGTAGTACTTTCTGAATAATTATTTCTTATGTTTATGCTGACATTACACATTTATATAAAACGAGTTTTTACGGATTTTATCGCAACATATTTTATATTACTGAAGTTGCGAGCACTTCACAGCACCCATGGTCACGAGGTGGGGGGGGGGAGGTGCTCGACGTAGTAGTAAAGTTCACGTTGCATAGAAACGTGACTAAATATGGACAAAATATCAAATCGCCTTTATTACAAGTAATATTCAACCTTATTTTGTTATTTCAAGGTTCAACTGTTAATATATTTTGAATAAAAATTACTGTGATAGTGTTGAGACAGTGCCGATACTAAAGTTTTCAATAAAGTTTTATCACAGTCGTGTTTATCTACTAACATATTAATGATAATGTGCAAGTACTGGATGTCTATGAAAATATACGAAATTACACGGTGATTACCCTATAATTTGCTATTAATGAACATTTCTGTTAAGTTTACTAAGCCAGAGAAGTAAGTAAGAAATTTAATATTACCACAGAATAAACAAGCTTAGGGTTCGTGACAATAAAAACTGCCGATTGAATTACCAAAATTGACACTTTAATAACCGAACACCAATTAAAACTTAAAACACACTAATAATTAATCACACTTAACACTTTAGTTCACTTTATTTCGCTCCTAAATCTTCGCTTGTATCACCAATTCAATACTACCCCGGTCGCGGCCCTCGGCTTTATATAGGCCTTTTCCACCGAAACATCTAGAACATTTCAGCAAATATCGGGCCCGACCGACTAGGTGTAGAAAGTTCGAGTGTGAAGTTATCTAGAAAGCTTAGTTCTTCTATTCGATACTAGATGGCGCTGGAGGTGGAAGGTTCTAGCACGGCATTTTCTAGAAAGCTCTCCTCACTTTGCTACCCAACACTAGATGGGGCTTGGGGCATTAATTATGGCTTGCAACGCAAAGATTTAAATAATAAGATGCGCCTTCACCTTGAAAACTGTGGCATTATTTATGGATGTGTTCGTCTGCAAGACGCTGACGCGCGCACACTAATGCAATATCGTCATCTTTTATTATCTTACAGAAATTGTGTATACTACTTTCTCTGTCGCACAAATGAGCACTGATTGCGAATGAGTGAGCTCACTCATTTGAGAATGGACACATTTCGGAGTGGTCATACTATGGTAAGGGCGCATCTAACTATTTAAATCTTTGTTGCAACGATAATTTAAGAACAGAACGATCACTCTTAGGGAAGGACTGTATAACAGTCCAATGCATAATTATGATTGAAATCAAAAATTATTATGCCTTTGAGTGATTTAAATAAACACACTTGGGATACTTCGGGCGAGTTTGGTAGTTGTAGTGAGCGAAGGCGTACAGTACCTGCAGGTCGTCGGCTGACCACATGTCCTTGTGGTCGGGCAGCGGCGTGAGCTGCAGGTGCAGCGACTGCATGTGCTGCGGGTGCAGCGCCACGCGCGCCGCCAGCCCGGCGTTCTCACACCGGAACGTTAGACTGGTCGCCTCCACAGACACCGTTGTCAGCTGTTCAGTAATCACTTCCATTGTTATAAATATTGCGAATAATAGGGTATTACACGGTTACATCCATTTTCAAAGTGTTTTAAATGAATCCTAGAGTGATAATGAACCACTATAATTTTATATACGTTTTTAAAACCAAATTGTGCCATACAAATTACTTTTAATCTATCGTTTTAAACGTTCGCGTGAAAACGCTAGCCGCCATGCTGTTTAACTCGTGACGTCACTGTCCTAGAATTTTGCCAATTTTGCAAAGGAATAAGATACTATTTAATGTTTAATACGGAGTTATTATCTATATTATTGTTGTGTTTTGCCTGAATGCGAACATACGAGCTTAAGAACGCCGGTAAAGTTATGGATTCAGCTGATTTAAATAAAAGAAATACTTTGTTAAAACTGGCAAGAAGACACCTGAATACAAAAACTATTCTTTTGTGAAGATCATTTTGATGTAAGTATGACTTATTAAGCTATCGTTTATACAAAACAAAACATCATGAGATGGAGGGTATCGTAAATCAAATTTTGTAATAAATTACGTTAACTTAGATATTATAACTAATGATTGTAATTATAGATAAACTAAACTATGATAGCTACTAAACTATGTTTTATCAAAATACACTCTGACCTGGTGTTGTTTTTTTTTATAAACAAAATTTGGTAATAGGTACTTTATGTTTTAACATTCCTCAACCCCACAAAACAAAAATTGGGATTACATGCAAAAAATTTTGCAACCATCAATTTATTTATCCTTGGTAGATTAGTACTTTCTGCTTTTACGAATTCGCCTCCCAAAAGGTATCACCTTTTCAATAAAATTCGGAATAAAACTCAATAATCGTAATGATAACCTGAAAAATTTCGAAATTACAGCACATTAGCTAGTTCTCTTAGTGACACGGAACTCTTAATACCCTTAGGCTGAATCAGTGACGTTACGATTTTGTCTAATATGGCGGACAGTGTTTTGCAGATTTTTGGCACAGATAAAAAATATTCTTAAAATTGAAATAAATTTTTTTAATGCAATTTTATAAATATAAATCAATATTTCTCGTTTACTTTTTGCAAAATCTATCATAAAAATAAAATACATAATTTTGATTTTATTTTACATGGTGTAAAATACCCTATTAATGAATTGCTTTTTGGTCTTAATCATTTCAAAATATTTCTGCACTTCTATTTGCTTTTATTGCTTAAGACATTTTTGCAAAATTGTAAATTTTATAAAGTGAATAAATACTAAGACGTATTATAAAAATATACTTGTTATATACTTTCATATTGGATTTACGTAATTTAATTATTTGGTTCAAAAAATTGATGTGTGTACATGTTACAGACGACTAGGGACACGAATATATTATATTGTTAAGTAGTTAATTACAATCTAAATTATTTTGTATATAGGGATTTGATCAAAATTTAAGCCCCTAAAGAATAAACTATTATAGATTTGAAAAGATGGAATGTTTAAAATTACGACGGTTCTGTCATTCAAAAAGTAATGTACCTAAAACACTTTCACGTAGTTTAATCATAGTTTAAAAAACTGTTTTACGAAAAATCTGAGTTAAAGTTTGTAAAGGTATGGGAAGGTACTGATATTCTAAGATACAGGATTTATCTTAGTTTATGAAGTAGTTCAACATTTCGTTTGTAACAACTGCTTAAGTTTTAATAAAGATTATTATTATTATTATAAATAATCTGTATATGAACAAATATCAAGAGCGTTATAAATTTTTAGTATGGCCTTATACAAATGGGCGCACATCGTGGCATGTGTGCGTGCAGTGCATACAGAGCGCGGGGCGGGGTACTCACGAAGTCCTCCTGCTGCACGTAGCGCTGCAGCGTGCGCTTCATGTAGACGCAGGCGAGGAAGCGCTGCAGCGGCGCGAGGGCGGGGCCGGGCGGCGCGCCGGGCGGCGGCTCGCTGGCCGTGCACAGCAGCTCCAGCTTGCCCACGCACAGCGGGGCCGCCGCGCCGCCCGCACCCCGTCCGCCGCGTCCCCCAGCCGCCGTCGTCGAGCTCGCCTGCGGACCTGCCGCGACACACTATAGCTGTACACTGTACACTTGGGAACTAGACACAGCTATCCATTCATCAATAACTTTATCGATCACATTTGCTACGATCCTCAGTACGAGTGTTAAACAGAGATTAAGAAAAATCTTCTTAAAATGTTATCCATAAGAATAGGAATGACCTTGCGCCATATTGTGACATCTTACCCGTCGATAAGGGCTGATAATCTTTCGTTCACCAGATGTCGCTAGTTCGGACTGAGGTGAAATTTTTTGTTGCAATATTATACAAATACACAAAACAATGCCTTAGTGTTAAAGCCTTTAATATTTTTTAACTCATTTGTTGGTTTTCCTACTTTTAGGAATATCTGTAGTTACATTCACTTCTAATCAAATTAATATTAAATATAACTAATATTAAAAAATTAACCTTTAAATTTTACTAAAAAATTAACTTCCTAGCCATGAATTCTGTCGAAGAAATGACCTCAATTCTCAGTGGCGCCGCCCGGTGGTAAGCAAAACAGACATATTTTTACACAGGTTTTAATTATTTTCAAAACTAATTATGACTGCAATAAATGTGGTAGTATTATAGCTCAGTTTATTAAAGTCGAAAAAAGTTATTAATGGGCAATTAATTTTCTTTGCAAGCCGTACTTTTTAAAGTGACAGTTGACAGATCAATATCGTTGGCATTCATATTTTTAGTTCAATCATATTGTACAACAGAAGAGGCATATTTCTAGCAAAAAACTAACGATTTAATGATGATAACAATGAAAAAATTTAAGGAACTCTTAATACAGCTTGTATTTAATAATCAGTTTGCACACCGGAAGGTAGAATATGGCTGTATTTTTGTTATGTTATTTATGTATATATGGGTTACAATTGTTAAGACCTATCGCAAATGAATAAATGAATTTGAATTTAGACATAACAACTTACAACTTACCTTTATGATCCATGTGGTGCCGCGGCGAGGGGTGGTGTCCGGGCGAGGGGCGCGGCAGCGAGGGCGAGGCGGGCCAGGCGGTGAAGGGCGAGGGGGGGGGCGGGGGCGGGGCGGCGGCCGGCGCCAGGGGCGACGGCGCCAGCGGCGACGCGGGCGACGCGGACACGCCCGCACCCGACGCGCCCGCACCGCCGCCCGGCGGCGACGTCAGGTTGAACGACCCCCCGCCCATCTGCATCAAAGTAACATAAATATATATTACGTTACGTCAGGCCTCTGTCACTCTTGCTACCTGCGTGAAATAATTACCTACAATCGCGAGACAGCCCGGGCTTCATACGTAGTCGTGAATAGCGCGTTGTAGACGATTAAATGTTACAAGTTTTTTACACTGTTTACGTGAATAGTTTTTTGTAAATACTTGTCGAAATAGTTTTTGTTTAGTATATTTAATTGTAGGATAAAATAGTAGAAAAAGTTTTAATGTAATTTAAAATATATATATATATATATATATATATATATATATATATATATATATATATATTACCTATCTATTTGATAAATTATAATGGCAAAACGTCGTTCATACTATAATTGTTGCGTGGATGGATTCTTAATGGCCAACAAAAGGTATCAGATATATCAATTTTTAAGTTACCGAAGGATTTTAGTAGGAAGTTATGGAAGGTGAATTTATTTCATTTTTTTTTTTGTTAGATAGGTTCTAATAGCAAAAAAGAATTAATTAATAATTTAACTACAGAAGTAATACCTAATTACAAAACTTTGTTGAAATTTACTTCACTATCCACGTACCTACTGACATACCTATACTTGTCTTTTGTAATTAAAATATTTTAAGTTATAATAACACAAAATACTGAAATTAAATTTTTGTTGACTAACAATATTTTTAACTAAGTAGAATGCGATCACATTTTTGTTAGGAATGGTATTTCGGCTTTATTTGTTGTTTACACTATCTATCTATTATTCCGAGCAGAGCATCGCGATTATCGACGAATGACCTTGCAATTTGCATGCGTTGGGCATCACAGAACTCATATAGTAGCAAAAATATGATGAGTCGATCATAGTCCGAATAGGTACTTTACTAAAGTAACTTAATATTTCACAAGGTATTTTTTTACTCTTTATTGACACCCTTTAGTAACCACGGAAAATCCACCGTGATGCAGCAAGGGGAAAATATGCACTGTAATACGGACACTCCCGCACAGCGATAACGTCTTATTTAGCTTGCGTGCGCGATATTAATAACAATTATGTAGGCTATTAAACGTCGGCAATCAGTCAACATCGAAGGAGTGCAGCTTCTGTACGTAGTACTATTATTTAATTTGTAGTTATGAACATCGAAATGTGATGTCATCATTTTATATAATGATTTTTGTTCAATAGTGGATAACGCTATTTTATATTTTAATTAATTTAATAGAATTAAAATATTACCCAATAGCGAGAGGCAGTCACTCACAGCATAGCAGCACAGATGACAGTTTAAATATATTTATCGCAACTCTAACAATTGAAAAAATGTTAAATATATTTATCGCAACTCTAGTAATTGAAAAAATGTTATATGATGTGATACCAGAAAAATATTATCGACTCCGACAAAAACTAGAATTACACTATATAACCGTCTGTTTATAAACAGGTATTAAATATCCAGACTGGCGATGTGATAAAACGTCAAAGATGTGAGACATCTGCTACTACGATCGCCAATCCGCCTGGCAAGCGTGTCGATGTCGACAAATAGATCGTGCAGGTCATTGAAGAAGGGTACCTGGTGCTGTGCGGGCGAGGCGGGGTGCGGCGTGACGGGCGCGGAGTGCGGCGTGTGCGGCTGCGGCGGCGTGAGCGGCGCCGGGAAGCGCAGCCCGCCTGCACCGCGGTATACAACATAAATAATAATGTCCTCCGACCGAATTTCGGCCACGGCGGCCTGCCTCAACGGAGGCTATAGGCGCAGAACAGGATTATAGTGCCCAAGTGTATGGGCAAGCACAAGTGCACTCTCTATTCCCTCACTCTCATAATCCGATGGGACGGTAAACCGACACGACCGGAGAGAGATCAGGCGCAGGACCAACGGCTTTACGTGCTTTCCGTGGCACGGGGGTGAGACACCGCCAACTTCCTGACTCCGGGCAGCTACTGAGAATTTCTTGATGAAAAAACTCAAAATGATTTTTTGCCCGACCCGGGATTCGGACCCAGGACCTCACGATCAGCAGTCGCACTATTACAACCACTAGACCAACGAGGCAGTACACAACATAAATACAAATACACACGTACAATGTTTTTTTAACATAGATTATAAATAATACTAGTCACTTTTAATAAGCATATCCAACTATATTCATTAACTAGTTGTTTCCCACGACTTCGCCCATGTGTAACTTAGGGGTTTAACTTTTTTGCGCGGATACCTGATTCTTTCTCTAAAATAAAAGTTACTCCTTATAACATTAACTATCTATCAGTGCAAGTCCCGTCAAATTTAGTCCATTCGTTTCGGAGATTAGCTTGAACAAACTGATAGATTGACAAAAATCTTAAAAATTGAGTTTTTGTTATAAGTACCGTATACACTTTCATATGCATTTAATAAAAAGCTGTTCAATTTTATTTATTTTTATAGATAAACTGAGGATGGTCTAGTGACTGGATTTTCTACCTTGAGTCTATTACCAATTTTAATACAATGTTCTGTTTTGTAAGTTGAATGTACGGGAACTTGAAAGCGAGTGAATTTTTGCTCCCGTACAATTTGTTTAAATAATTGTTTGAAGTATATTTTATTACGTAGAAGTGACGCGAGTTTTTGTGTATGTGAACTATTATGGGAAGCTTGTAACATAAAAGTGCTTCGATAGTGATATAAATGTGAAGTATTTTATATCCGCCTTGGCGGCTATAGATACTTCAGTCATCAAAACATTTTGGAATTGTTGTATGTATTTGTGACGTAATACACATTGACACAACGGCCCAGGCTGTATGACCTTTGCTTACCTTAATCGGTAAATCATACAAAATATGTGTTATCACCACGACATCGATAACGTGTTGTTAAATGAAAAACTGTGAGGAATGTCGGTGTCAAAATATCTTTATCGATATAGGCCTATGAAAAAACCCTCTTAGAAGAATAATAATAAGTAAACAGAAATGGTAAATAAAGCTTTTAAAATATTAATTACCTGACGGCATTGGAGACATTGGCGAGGGTGGGTTTTCTTCTTCCGCTAATAGTCTAGCACTTATATTGTCTTCAACATATCTTGATAAAAATGCCTGTGAATATTAATGTAAATGGTTACATGAAATATTAATAGTTGAAACAACCCAAATTTATTTCTAACTAATATATTATGGTAAATAAGACAGCAAAACTTTACAATTTGTGTTTTTATACTAACTTTACACTACTCTTCCTCTAATGTAATGGAGAAATTATTTATTTATTTTTATTATTCAATAACCCTTTATCATTATCATACCCCAAGGAATACCACAAAGCACGGTCCTGAGCTACCTGCATCCATCGACTTCCTGCGTGTCTTACCAGGTCGTCACTCCATCTAGTGAGGGGTCACCCTACACTTGGCCTACCGGTGGCAGCCACTCGAGAAACTTTTTTCCGGATCGGTTATCGATTTTCGAGCTATATGGCCGGCCTATTGCCATTTAGCTTACTAATCCGTTGCGCTATGTCGGTCACCGGTTTTAGTGCGGATATCCTCATTTCTAAATTTATCACGCAGAGAGCGAGCAATTTGAGCAACAAGCCCGAAAACTTTATAATCGCAACAAATTGCGACTAAACAACAAAACTAGAGCTAATCACAATACATAAATATTAAAAAAAAACTGAAATACTGCCAAGTTCTTTTAGGTATCCCACAATCTGTAAAAATTTCACTTCTATAGCTATACATATACGAGTACATAAAAAAATAATATATAATGTTGTATGATAATGAGTTGCACTGCTGAAATAATCAAAAATGAAAAATTGAAATACCTTCAATCCCAGAGCAGGCGCAAACTCATCGACGACAGTGCTTCGATCGAACTTTGAGTAAGAGCCATCGCGGATTGTTACCATATTGCCTCCTCGAATACCAACTTCTAGGGAATATGCACCCGCGTAAATGATACGTATCTGTAAATTAATGCGTTGAAAATAATAACAATACCATCCTCCACCAATTACGGATAGTTGTATCACAATTGCTTTAAAAGTGAAATATAAATTACATGTTGTTCCATACAAACTTAGAATTAAGATAGACTTCGGTGTAATTAAACTTATTGTAAATATTATATAGCTTAGTATGTAAGGTAATAATTAAACAAAAATTGATACGTTTTTTTTTGCTTCGTGTCTTGTAACTCACAGGCTACTTTATTATAAAGTAACACAAAAATGAATGTGATTGAGATAGGACAAAAATAACATTATCAACATTACCTTTCTCCATGAGTGCGCAAGCAATGTGAACGTAGGCGTGGGCATCTGTGTACGCACGTGGTGCAGGCCCAACTGAGGAAGTGTCGGCAGTCGACTCAACGCTAACAGCGGAGCGTATGTTTCACGCAACACCACGCCGAAGGACATTAAGTCTTTGTGCCTTTAAAATAAATACTCTTTTTACTCAGTGTTCATTAATTATTGCCTTTTTTATATTATTCTTCTAAATATCAAAGGCCACCGTACTTTGAGTATGCCTAATAACTCAACAAACATTTTGCTTGCTTTTGTATGGTCATTTGTAATAACTTTCCGCATTTTTCATTTAAAAGTTAGCCAGAAATATAAAAAATATTATAGATTAATAGTAGTTTTGCAGCAAATTTATAAGTAGATTGTGTGTTCACAAAACGAATAGTTCAACAGGGCAACCGCGACGTCATAGACAAAACTAGAAAGAGTTTAAAGATTGTCTTATTTATAATAATTAATATATATTATAGTTTCACCAGACTCTAAATACATATTAATTATTATAAAACAACAAACGTCTGGTAGTACTATTATAGAAAAAAATTGTATTGATATTGAATATTTTTAATGCAATATATAATAACATTTATATTTTCATTCATATATTTGTTAATAATTAATATACATAATGACCTTATATAAATAAAGCCTGGTGTTGTTCTTATAGTGAATGTAAGCAACTGTGATGAATGAAACATTTTTTTTAAATGATAACGGAGCATTTATTTTCTAGTGTTCAGGGTTGATAACGCATCTGCATGTGATTCTTCAGTTTATGTACTACAGAATGTGTTTAAGACTTGATAGAATTTGTTCTTGATAGTGTTGTTTTCAGATTCAATTGTATAAAATCCTGACAAATGTGACGTCTACGACAAACCGTATATTTAGAAGCTAGTTTTAGTGGCGCAGCAGAATAACGGGGACAAACGAGCACACAGTCCACCTGATGGTAAGTTGATGCTGTGGCCTATACACATCTACGTCTATCCTTGATTAAGAATCAAAATTAAGCTCACTATGAGCCCTGAGGACTAAGGTGGAATGCTTCGTTTCCAGTAAATTGGGTCTCCAATTCTCTACACTCACCATACGAAAGACAGCAAAATTAGGCTGTTATTTCACGCTAGCGTTCTGTGAGAATGTGGCCCATCCCGTCATTCGTGTCACAAACAATATAACAATGGAAAAGTTTACCTTATATGTGGTAGAGCCACGCTGCAGCTATATTATGGTTGTAGCACGAATGGGTCGGCTCGACCATGGAAGGACCACGCTCTCACAGAATACCATCATAAAATAGCAGCTTAATACTGCTGTATTTCGTATGGAGAGTGTAGAGATCCGGAGACTCTCTTTTACTCGAAACGAGGCATTGCATCTAAGTCCTCGGGAGAGACAACGCATCTGCGTTTTTATTCTTAATTGAGCATAAATGTAGATGTCTATGGGCCACAGCATCCACTTACCATCAGGTGAACTGTGTACTCGTTTGTCACCCTTATTCTATAAAAAAAACCTATAGAGTGTATAGAGAGAATATGTAGTACGTCCTAGACGATGCGCCGAGACTTGGTAGTTTGTAACACGCGTTAGACCCATGCTGCGGCTATACCGCGAATGTAACGTACAGCAATAAGCAAGAGCAAGCTACAAGCAGCGTACCAGTTGATGTAGTGGTGCAGGTGGTGGTGCAGCAGGGGGGGCGCGTTGGCGGCGGGCGGGTGCGCGGGCGTGGCGACCGTGTAGCGCTGCGCCGCCGCCGACCACTGCAGCACGGCGGTGGCGCGCTGCGCCGCGCCGAACCCCAGCACCAGCGATCGGTACGTGTACGACCGGATGCACACACCCTGCCACAGCGTCTCCCGCTCTGAGTGGCGTCAATCACCGACGCCAAGTTCAAAAGTCAATTTAACGCAATTACACTGATAATATGTAAAGCACCTTAGGTCCTACAATTTTGTTTGTATACTCATAACTCAAGCATAATCGACTTCAGAGTGCGTCAGTGTTAGGGCTGACGCGAGCTTCATACTGGCGTCGGTTGTCGGACTTGGATGTATTTGTACCTCGCGTATGATAAATTAAATTGTACGATCCAGGGCGCTTCACACATTTTCAGTGTAATATTACATCCGTAAAAACTTAAGTGAAAATATAATTATATATTTTTTATATATTTTCATGTACTAAATGATCGTGTATTAGCAATGTAAAAATATCCTCCACAGTATATCCCGTGGGTGTCACAACCAGGAGATCGACATAAGCGTCTTCCTAATAACAAGAAAATAAATACAAATGTGACAGCGGACCCACCTAGTTAGCGTGGCAGTTAGGGCAGGGATAATAATTAAAGGACAGTCTAGGAGAAGGCCTGTGTTCAACAGAGGACTATGATAGGCTGTAATAAATGAATAAACTTGGTTTTATATGAAGGTAAACAATAAGGGAGTATGGATGTGGAGGAGGCGAGAGAGGTGTGTCAGGCGTGTGTATTAATATTTTTTAATTAAGTGATTTATTTAGTAGTTATACCTCCGTTTTGGAGCAGTGTGGTGGCGGCGCAAGAGAAACAATCACCCCATTTCATCCCGTGCGTGTGGTAAGAGGCGACTATGTCGTATAATATACAGGATGTTAGTGTGAAAACCGTTAGCCTTGAAACCAATGGTTTGGTTTCACTTATAGAACGTCAACTCAATGAAAAATAACAATATTTTTTTATTAAAATCTCAATTTTTTCTTAATTCGTCAATTTTTAAATTTACGTTTTTTTTAAAGTTTTTGTTGAATTTACGTTCTATAAGTGAAACCAAACCACTGGTTTCAAGGATAACGGTGTTTACACCAACAACCTGTATACTGGAGTGTCACAGGCTTCTACTCCGTTTTCATGTTACATCCTATTTTTTTCCAGACGGTAAAAAATCGGCATCCAGTATACACAGGTGGCATCATAAAATTTGTGGTTATCATCTCGCGCGGCAAGCGGGACCACTATATGCAATTGTCCTTCCTATGAGAGTATATATGGAGGAGATTTAGCTTAATAGGGAATAATGAATGAATGAATTTTACCTTGACTAGGTCTCAGCATGAAGTCGTACAACAGCGTATGGAGATGCACAATAGCAGCCCAATCGGCGAGGAACGCGTCCGCAGTGCGTCCCGCGTCCGTACCCAGCTCGTACTGCAGGTACACACAACGCTTCTCGCCTGTGTTGCATAATAGTACATTACAATACAAGGGACTTAAGTAGCCGAATATTAGTCGGTCGTTTATTTTGAGAATTCTGTTATTCAGTAACATTAATGTTGTAAAAAATCTAGGGGTTCTAATTGACAGTAGAATGTCTTGGGCACCTCAAATTGAACAGATAAGCAAGAAAATGTTTGCAGCTTGTGGAAGTCTTAAGAGACTCCGAAAGGGAAATGCCCACATATAAAAGTATATAGATATGATAATATGCAATTAAAAGAATGAAATGGTAAAGGAATTGCTTTAAAAAAAGTCGGGATTTTAAAGATATATAAGTTTTTATTTTCACAAATACAGTTTTTTTTAACAACTACTTTTATCTAATTTTATCGCGTTTTATTTCTTTGATTTTTAATTCCAGACGTTTCGCGTGCTTTCCAGCACCCATGGTCACTTGACAGACTGAGGTGACTGATGTCCCAATGTCAGTGTTAACCTGGAATACCTTCAGATCTTTAATTTTTATTTATGGTCCGATCTACAGAATGAACTTACTGTGTCTTGAAGTCTTGCAGTGGTATGCTTGGGTTTAGTTTTAATTTCATTAATTAAAGGGTCCCAAGTCTCCTTCTCTATTTAAATAAGGATTTTTTTTATTTCAATAGTCTCACGTATCATCCTTGATAGGAATTGATGTTCCTTCGAGAGAACTTATGGTCTATCAAATCTGATTTATTTCTATCTGGTTGGGGCCGTCTAGGATATGATCACAAACTGCACACTTCCCTGAACTTTAATGTTTCACGTCAGCTATATGTTCTTTTATGCGGGTTTTAATTGTTCTTTTCGTTTGCCCTATATATGAGCGACCACATTCACAATCAAGGGTGTACACTCCTGCACCTTTTAGAAGAATATGACACTTGATTGATGGTAAGAACTCACTAATCTTCTTCAGAGGCTTGTAGAATGTTCTAATAGAAGCTCGCTTCAAGATGTAGCCAATCTAATCTGTGACACCCCTGACATATGGTAGAACTGCAAACGTTTGACTGTGACTGGCTTCACTCGGTCACTGTGACGTAGGCGCGGGACCCGAAGCTTGTTGACGTGCAGAACCTGCTTGACGTGCTGAAGCTCGACAGCCAGATGTTTGCTGTCATAGATCCCTTGTACTCTCTGTAACAAAGATTTGCTAACGGTAGCTAACTTGTGAAGGATGATGGTGAGATTCATTGTTTTCTATACACAGTGTGACCTATGGTGTTGTTAGGATTTTGGATGACTAACGCATCTAGGAAAGCTAAGGAATTATTTGTCTATAATTTATACATCAATACATCATACACAAACTGAACAGGAGGCAAAATATTAGTCTGATGCCGTGCCCAACCCAAATACCATATTAATGTCATAACATGGGCACAGCATCATACTGTTCGACGGCTGACAATACAATTGCAACAATACTTTTTAATTGCACTTCTACCAGAACCATTGCCACTAATTAAAATATATATAAAATACACTTTTCGACACTAAGTAAAGATCAGCTAGGGCTAAAGTTTATTCCTTCCATAATGCTGCTCCTGTGGTTATTACAGAGTTCTATCCGGTAGCAACCATTAAATCTTACATGCTCACCATAATAGGAGTGAGCTTGTTTTAATTGGTATGTGCCACAAGCAATTAATATTAAGTCGTTAAAACAGGAAATTCCCTAACATTTTTAGTATACATAGTTAAAGTAATTTTGGCTAAATATTTTAAATTCAGTTTTAAAAATGCCATTCACCACCTTTACTACCCATATCGACACATAGTCACGGCTCTGGACTTATCAGCATATCTTGTCATTAATTGAGATTCACCATCTGCTGGAGACAACGGTACCCGAGAAACTCCATTTGGAATGAGAAGATTTCTTACAGCAATTTCTGCTTGGGATATATGATTTATGTCTACATTCATAGAAACAAAATCCTCATTTAATATTTCACAGGCCATATTCATGAGCAGTTCTAATGTACTTCTTGGAACTTGCATGGAACTTGCTTGTTTGTCACTATCTATTATATTTACTTGACAGTCTCGGAACTTCAGACAGAATTTGTAGCCAGATAATAATGTATATTTCTTTTTCACTTATACTCTGTTTAATATTATTATTATAGGGTATTCATAAAGTATTCTCATCTCTCACTATTATTTATTGTTACCAATTAATATTTCTTTGTGGATAACGGTGTTGGTTACATAACGACTAAGACTAATGTTATTTATAAATTGTTATTTGGTTTAAGCATTATTATGTAATTGTTTGTTGTCCTGAATAAAAAAGGTATAGTATGCTCAGGCATATTCTAAATATTTTCAGTCTATATGATGTGCATATTATCTTTCTATAATGTAGCAAAATCTTCAATTTGTGCTGCACTAAATGTTTTAATAGGATTATTTTGTTGATTCTAAAAGTATATTGCAAGAGTTACTTTTTAAATGGTATTCTATATTCTAGAGGTAAGTACATTATTTTTTTTATAGGATAGGGCGACAAACGAGCACACAGTCCACCTGATGGTAAGTGATTGCTGTGGCCCATAGACATCTACATCTATCCTCGATTACAAATCAAAATGCAGGCATGTTGTCACCCGTGAGGAATATGATGGAATGCCTTGTTTCCAGTAAAAAGTCTCTGGTTCTATACACTCACCATACGAAACACAGCAGCATTAAGCTACTATTTCACGCTGATATTCTGTGAGAGCGTGGTCCTTCCCTGGTCGAGCCGACCCATTTGTGGTACAACTATACTACTAATATAACTGCAGCATGGCTCTACCACGTATACAACACATACATAGTAATAGTAATCGCAAAAGAGCCGCAATGCTGATGGAACAGTGAGTCGATTGGAATTATTACAACCAGGTAAAAAACATTGATTTGGTGTTAGTGGTGCTTTTAAATAATTAGTTAGCAGTATACTGTGTGATGTACTAATTATCTAAGCTTTGTTGGTCTGGGTGCAATACATTACTCACTTCAGATTGCTATGAGGATGAACTAGATGATTCAGATGGTTCCCATTCTGCAGTTGAATGCGATGCTATTCTATCAGTACTTTGCCAGCAATTATGATACACACAAGATGACGATGACAACTGAAATAATGTTAAATACAAAAAATTATGTCAAAGTGAAAAAAATAGATTTGTTTATTTTGAACTCAAATATAAATAAATTATTTATCAAGTTAAATGTTACTGCACAAAGACAGACTCAATGCTTTATATTATTTAATAATTAAGGCCTGACAGACTACCAGCAGTCCAAAAACAGTGATAATCAACTGTCTCATTTTTTGGTAGTTGATAAAAATGGTCAATCTCGTAAATAAGCTAGTTTGTTTGTCAGATATAGCTTATGCAGATGTGAAAAAATAAAACAAGTTCTTAAGTTGACATGCAATCAGTTTAAAAACACGTTTAACCCTTTCGCTCGGCTAACAATCTAATCAGATCATACAATACCTACCTTACGCCCGCTCTAGTACGGGGCTAATTAGATCAGATAATATCAGAAGTACTGCCTTATGAAAAAACTACTTTTTCCTTTAAAACAAAACCAAAGACAATATGCAATAGATAATAGTATCAAAGACAAAGATATGCTCTTTTATTTTAAACCATAACCTGGCAATGTTTCTTAGAAAAAAAAAAAAGAAATCACTCTAAACTTTCGGCGTTCCACGTGTCGTTTTGATGAATGTGCTCCATCTTTTTTATAGAATTTTATAATTGTGTCTGGACTAAAAACGAAAGTATTATACTTTTTTATATTCCTTGTAATATAGTGAACACGAAGATATATAATTTGTGGTATAAAAAGTGAAAAGTAAATTGCCAAAAGTGCTTCAAAATCTGTAAGGCCCATTATGGCGGCTGGGTCGTAAATGCGTTATTTTTCATATTCTCATTTATTTTTAGTGTAAAATGTAAGTAAAAATAGTTTTCTTATATATTTCAAATAACTTGACGTTGTATTTATTTCAAATTCACACATAATTATTTTTGAAATATTGTTCTAAATGTCACACAGATAAAATATTATTATAGTTTTTTTTATATTTCAATATTTTGGTATGAGTAACGAATGGAAACATATAAAACATAAAAATATACATATTTCCAAACATTTTCATATAAATTTCTCCAAAAAACAAAGTTTAGAATTCAAATTAGTAGTAATTTTGTCACTAAAATTGAAGTATATGGTACTACTATGCTATATAGGGTAATTTATGTATTTTATTACAATTTCTAGCAACCAAAAATAATTTTATTCGATAGTTTATACATTCAACAAGAAATCCTGTAATTTTTATCCATAAATATTGTCTGAAAGTGAAAATATAGCAAAATTTGCAATATAGCAAAAAATTTGCTAATTTGCAAATTTTCCCGCCATTACGGTCCCGAGTGAACGGGAGTATAACATGTCGCGCGCTGTCAGAGCGAAAGGGTTAACTATCAGATATGAGTAACACACTTAATAAATAGAAAAATGTTAAACACTTACACGTGATGCAATGATTGCAACCTCATTCTTCCTCACGTGGAGAATCGAACCCAAACAATGTGTGTGATCTTATTCTCATAAGTGATTTGCCACAGCTGATGCATACATGTACATGACAAACTATTGGTGCATTTTTCGAGTGGCACACTACACGTACGTTGCTGGCGATAATGATAGTGATATTTTGACTCGATGTAAAATCTATGCTTGTTACTACAGAAATCTTCATGCGCCCGCGAGTCCGACTCGCACTGAGCCCTTTTTTTCAACTTTTTGTTTTTATTTTAATAAATAGTTTTTTCGTTAAAGCGGAGCTCTTTTGCTTTAGATTCATTACTTGTATCTATAACAATCAATCTGAGTAGGTAAAGTGTGTAAATACGATTCTTAAATTGTAAAAAAAAATTGGAGTTATTGGAGGTAGGTATTTAGTTTTATTTATTTAGAAAATATTAATCTCACAATTAATTATTATAATTATATAATTTTATCACACAACTAACGCCCTCATTAGCAATGTAATGGTGTAATAATAATTTTCAAAATCGGTCAAGTAATTTTCGAGATTAGCCAAAAAACATATACATTGAAAGTAGCGCCCTCTATAATAAAATGCATCCTATATTAGACATCTATAATTATACATAACAATCTAGTGGTGAAAGAATTTTCAAAATCGGTCATGTACTTTACTAGTTTAGCGAAAAAAAAAACATTTTCGTTGATAGTAGCGCCCTCTATAATAAAATGCATCCTACATTTTTAAGCACCATAGCAAAAACGATTCAGCTTAGCCACCCGCACACACAGTAAAAACATAACCATCCTTTTTCGTCTGTAGTCGGATAAACAAGTGGTTGACAACGGTTGCGTATCGGCTGCATTGGATAAATATCCATTTTAAACGGTTGCTTTACACCTATATCATAACATAATAATAATTATCGAAAAATTATATTAGCATTGTAATAATGATACCGTAAGTAATCGATCGGAAAAGGGAAATCGATTTTTTAATGATTTTTGTGATTGGCAACATTTTTTTATTTTATTCACAACTAATGAATTACGTATTTACCTAATTTTATTTTTATCTTTTCGGTACTTTTAATTTGTGCAAAAATATTCCATCTTTTTAGGATAAATGAATACCGCAATTAATAACCATAAATAAAGATATATTTTTTTAACAAATGAACATTGTTGGGCGTTCTATGGCCGAAAATGGACATCCCCCTTTCCTGCCCATTTCTACCAAAATTGCGTGAGCGCATTCTAATTTGTTAACTATTTTAGACTATGCTGATATATGCTAAACATTGATATTACAATAGAACAATTAAACAAGCTTGAGGGTTTTCAAAATATAAACCTTAAGGAACAATTTCACTATTGATATGAATTTCATGACCGCAATCTGCGTTCAGTGTATAGCTTAGCTTTAAATATTCCTTGCAGCGTAACTTCGTTTTGCAATAAGTCATTTACTTCTCAAGCAACCAGACTTTGGAATTTATTACCACTTAACATTCAGCAAGTGCAATCTTTACAGTCTTTTAAAACACTTGATCATTTTTTGTTTAATTTTCTCTGCAGTATATTTATGTATGTATATATTAAAATGAAAATTATTAAACATATATTAGGGATGTTGCTATACCGATACTGATATATCGACATCGCCGATTATATACAACCGATATCAAGTCTGAAAAGCGCGTTAAACGAACAACGTACGCGCGAAGTTTTTGCTCAGTTCAGTTGCCTCAGTTTTTTCAAGTGCAAGTCTCATACAAAATTATTTGTGTAACAGATTATCTGCTAATAATTTAAACACTATGTTTTCTTAACAAAAATCTACCAAAAGTTAACTTTAATTACAGACTTTATCTTTTATATCGGATTACTTTACCACTTTGTGTAATGAAAATTACTTTCTTAATTAGCGCTTTGATTGCTTGATAATATTCTTGATTATTCATATAAATAAACGTTTTCTTCGAATTTAGAATTGAAATTTTGATTTCACATTTATCCTACTCTAGGTTCAGTCTCCGATAAATATAGGTAACTTTTGTGCATAATAAAGAAAATTATTCATTATTTATGCTTTTTTATTTCTACTAAGCCACCGATAAAGGTATCGGTATCGTCAACAATCATGTATCATTACATCCCTATTATATACAACATAATTAACGCACTTTGAGAAAGTAGTTTGTTCAGAATCGTTTGTACTGAATCGATTCCTATCATTTTTAATATACGTAAATTTTTATCCCAAAAATAATTAAAACTACGTATATATTACAGTCACACTAAATCTGTACAGTCAAAACAAACTGAAATGGACCGTAACTTAAGGCAATCAGACTTTTAAGAGTGCAGTTTTATTTGTATTATTACTAATTCTGTCATTCAATAACAATAAAGAAAAATGAACTTTATTTCAAGCACGTTAAAGTCTTTGCGTTCGTGGATTTGTACTGTGACCACAACATTCTTCCGGAATTAGTATAACTAATTTGATAAATAATCAGTGCATAAAAATGTTTAACTAAAAATTCAGTGTATGTATTATGATTATAACATAATATACTAATTGGGGTGTCTGAGGGTGTGCGTTAATTACGTTATGTATTGTATATAAATGTTTGTATGTTTATATTATTAATATAAGTATTTTTATAAATAGTATTTATAATTTTTTTTTGCATTGCATGTTGCACTCGGTTTGTTAGGTAGAAGTCGCTTAAAGCGATATGACCACTGTAGTTCAAAGTTTTCTGTTATTGTAATAACTCAACAAATACAAAGTCCAAATGCAATAAAGAGTTATCTATACTATCTAGTATAATCAATTTTGCATAATTTATTTATTATCATTTATAACCCTGTAAAAATATCGTAGCTGCATATGAAATACTACTGAGAAATATTTTGCTGCTATGAAACGCATTTGAATGGCAAATGCAGACGAGTTTTTTTTTTTACACCTTAGAAGTGTTTTCCCATAAACTTCACGAATTTTTTTATTGTGTTAGTTTTCTTTTAAATTGAGTCAATGAAAATCAATAATTATCGCGGAATTTCTCAATAGTCGAGCTTTACGTAATTATTATCGCCATTTGTTTACGAGAGAAATCATTTATAATACGCCAGTTGCGGCCTGAGATGTATTTACTCTGTAATACCATCTTGTATTTATACCACATTATGTAAATCAAAAGCGCTAGATGTTTGGTGCTGCGAGCGCCGATCCGTCGGCTTGTCTCATGTCCAGTCGTGGATTATGTACCCGTTGAAAAAGAATGGCGGAACGCAGACCTTGCTCCTTGGGGTTGGGCGTGGCGACGGGCGAGCCGTGGAAGACGATCTCGGCGGTCCAGACGCGCGCCTGGTTTTTGGTGGTGAGGCGGATGGTGGCGGCCAGCAAGCGCGCGCGCAGCGCGGCGGCTGCACGCTCGGCGGCGGCGGCGGGCCGCGGCAGCGCCACCACGCGCATGGCCAGCGCCGACCCGCTCCACTCCGGCTGCACGCCGCCGTGCGTCACGCCGCGCGCCGCCAGCTGCACAGAGCCCCTCCGTCAGTCATTCCTTTCATTACCGTTACAGCTTACTATAGTCCTCTGCTTAGCCATAGGCCTCCTCCCTTAAATTACATCATAGGGGGGGATATTTGCCATAGCTACCCAACTTGGCAAGCGGGAAGGAAACCGAGATTTTTTATTTTTAGCCAGTATTAGGAAGACGCTACTGGCCATCTCCAGATTTGTTTGCCTCTGTCGCCTCTTACGATACTCACGGAATAATATGGGGTAGTGGATACTCTTCATACACCGTCATCCATTTATAATGATTTCTTATATACAGGGTGTAAGTGTAAACACCGTTGTCCTTGAAACCAGTGGTTTGGTTTCACTTATAGAACGTAAATTCAATGAAAAATAACAACTTTTTTTTAGTAAAATCTAAATTTTTCCTTAATTCCTCAATTTTTGCCTATCCTAAGCCAGGATGAAAGTATGAAGAAAAAGTTATATCACAGGTTATGTGTACCTATTGTGTTTTTATGTTGAATGTTATGTAGGTAGCTAGCGCTGGCGGTGATCTTTACAGTGATTACGTAACTCGGGCGCATAGGGTATCCATGAATTTACGAACGGTGTCGGACAGAAACTTTTTAAATTTTATGATAGAAAATAGCGTTTATTTTTTTTAATTCATTGAATTCACGTTCTATAAGTGAAACCAAACCACTGGTTTCAAGGACAATGGTGTTTACACTAACACCCTGTGTATATATACAACATGTAACATAATTAACGCACTTTGAGAAAGTAGTTTGTTCAGAATCTCGATTCCTATAATTTTTAATATAGATAATTTTTTATCCCAAAAATAATTAAAACTACGTAAATTACAGTCACACTAAATCTGTACAGTCATAACAAACTGAAATGGACCGTAACTTAAGGCAATAAGACTTTTAAGAGTGCAGTTTTATTTGTATTATTACTAATTCTGTCATTCAATAAAAATAAATAAAAATGAACTTTATTTCAACCACGTTAAAGTCTTTGCGTTCGTGGATTTGTACTGTAACCACAAAATTCTTCCGGAATTAGTATGACTAATTTGATAAATAATCGGTGCATAAAAATGTTTAACTATAAATTCAGTGTATGTATTATGATTATAACATAATATACTAATTGGGGTGTCTGAGGGTGTGCGTTAATTACGTTACATATTGTATATATACGATATAATTAAACGACGCGTTTAATTCCACTTACTTTTAATTTCAAAAGTTCCAAGTGCTCCAAAGTACCATCAGTCCCCAACGCGATTAAATCCGTAAAATTAATTTTATTACATCATTCATTACAGTTTATTAGTTCATCAGAAAAACAACGGCTGAACATCATCATAGATTACACATTATATTCGCCATAACTGCCACTCTTAACAAGCAAATCTGTAGCCGGCGTTTTTCATTTTCAATGCGTTCTTATCAGGAAGATTCTGTTGCTCCTCTCCTGTTTCACTTTAACTATGTCACCTCTTACGACACGAACGGAATGACATGGGGCAGTGCATTCTCTTGCGCCGCCACAAGGCACAACGCAGTGCACACGCATCATCATATTTTTTTTAAACTAGCAATGCTATTCACATTACTAATATTCCCTGTAACCGCTACTGGTGAGCTTATAAAGCTTGTTTTAGGAGTGGTTCACGACGGTAGTCGAATGGCGGATTCGAAAGCCACAACCTTTTGAGAATATAAATAACTCGAAAATAATTCCCTATCAAAACAAACACTATAATTAATATAGAGACATTCAACCACTGTATAGTAATAAAATAAATACAAAAAAAAACATGTTCTAATACATCTATCAAGGACAAAAGATAAAAAATAGCGAGACTGACTTCTTGCGCGAGGTTGACGAAGGGCACGCGCTCGTCGGCGGCAGCGACGACGTGCGCCAGCTCGGGCAGGAAGTACGCGGGCTGGCGCATGCGCACTGCGCGGCTGCTGTTCGCCGCCAGCTTGCGCTTGCCCGCCTGCATGCCTAACACATAAAGGATTGACGGACTCAACGAGATCTCTAAAACTATACACCACTTGAAATTTAGGATAGTTACTCTTTTGATTGATTTATGGGGGGACTTCCCCCTGAGGGGAATTAAAAATAAAAGTAAATAAAAAGTAAAAATAATAGTGTTTTATCATGTGTAGTGTTGTAAATATAAGAAATCATTAGTTACTCTTTTTTTTTATTAAATAAGGGTGACAAACGAGCACACAGTTAACCTAATGGTAAGTGGATGCTGTGGCCCATCGACATCTACATTCATCCTCGATTAAGAATCAAAACGCAGATGCGTTGTCAACTCTGAGGATTAAGATCGAATGCCTCGTTTCCGGTAAAAAGGGTCTCCAGATCTCTACACTCACCATACGACACATAGCAGTATTAAGCTGCTATTTTACGCTGGTATTCTGTGAGAGCGTGGTCCTTCCCCGATCAAGCTATTGACCTATTCGTGCTACAACCATAATATAGCTGCAGCGTGGCTCTACCCATCTATTTCGCATCCCATCAAAAAAAATTGGTTCCGCAATAAAATATTATCGTGCGCCCAGCGAAGCGAGCGAGTATCAGCTAGTACCACATAAAAGCCAAATCCATTAGCATATAAAATTCTACTTCTGACAGAAAAAATGTTTTAACCAAAATCATCACACTTTTCAAACGAGTTGGTGATCCTTGTGGTAGATATTTTATAATAAGGTTTTGACGTAACCAATAATCGTATCTAGGTATGTAGACTCAGCTTCTAAATAGTAATACCACTATCAAATAAATAACGAAAGGCGAAATAGGATAAGTTAAAAAGTTTAAGGTATAGAATTCTGATAGCAAAAGGCTACACTGGAATATCATTCCATTAACCCATAAAGGTGGTAGTACATAAGTGAACAATTATAAACATACAATGGTAACTACAACCTAAAATTAACCCCAAGTAATTGGTAGTACGCTATGCTAAATTTATTATAATCGATTAGTTGATACAAATATATCTTTTAATTCAATTAATAATAAAATTAACTAATTCAATAATTACAGCTTAAAAAGCTCAATTCTTAATTACAAGTTCATTTGATGGTTTGGCATGCAGGTCTTTTATTATTTTGAGATGGCAACATTTATAACATTATTTTGAGAAAACAGCACGTAGACACGGATCAGAAGGGATATCGGCCTGTAGTTCTTCAAGAGAACGTTGTCTCCTTTCTTGAAGAACAAGACCACCACACTTCTGGTCCACGCCTCTCACGGTCACATCTCGAAGTAGTGCCACCATGGAGGACGGAATTAAAGAGGGCTAATATTTCCAATATGGACCATCGATTTCAAAGCCCATATTTTTTTTTTGTAGATAGTACTCACTAAAAGAAAGCGTTTTGCAAAGTTTTAGGTTGCGGAAACTTACGGTTCATGAGATATATTTTTTAAACTTTTCATACAAATTGGTAAATAACACGCAATTACAAAATAAATTTGACAAATGATTGATGTCAAACGTCAGTTAGTGTAGGGTTCCGAATATTTTGAAAGTATCGATACCTACTCGATACCAAGTATCGTATCAAAAGTATCAATACTACTTGGTATCGAGTACATTCCATTAATTTTAGAGACGAAAATTTATGACAAACCAATTAGATGCATAGGAAGAGCTGATAACTGCAATTATATATGTATATAAAGTAGAATAAAGTTTACTCTATTTAAGTTCCACCTTAGTACTTGTATTTCATTGCTTGCAACTTGTTTGTATTTCTTAATTAGTACAGCTTTTGTACTTTTATTTTATTGTTTGCAACTTTCTATATTATCTAATTCTTACTACAATAAAGTGTTTACTTACTTATTGACTTACTTATTTAATATCCAAAAAGTACCCAAAACCGAATCAGAGCACCCCACTATCCACGTGGTCTTGTCTGCCCTACCCCTAGAGTGTATATAAGAGCCCGGAGGCACTGCTCATACCGCAGCGCCGGAGCTGCCACGGAGCGCCGGAGCATAACTTCCCGGCTTCTTACCCCCCTAGTCTCCAAAATTAACGAAATGTACTCGATACCAAGTATAGTATTGATACTTTTGATACGATACTTGGTATCGAGTACGTATCGATACTTTCAAAATATTCGGAACCCTACACTAATTGACGTTTGACATCAATCATTTGTCAAATTTATTTTGTAATTGGTGTAATTGCGTGTTATTTGCCAATTTGTATGAAAAGTTTAAAAAAATAATTCTCATGAACCATAAGTGTCCGCTACCACTACAGCTTGTGAGTACTATCTACAAAAAAAAATATGGGCTTTGAAATCGATGGTCCATATTGGAAATATTGACCTTAAAAAGCTTCGGAAGGACTTCAAGTACCGGTTTTGCACCCGCTTTCAGAAGAACAGCATCATCCCATTTCTTGGTTTAGTTTTCTTCTGTCGTCTCTTACAATATCCTCGTCATTATACCCCATATTGGAATGTGTGAAATAACGAAAACTCATTTTAAGAAAGTTAATAAAACATAAGCATACATACATTCAATCTAAACGACTGACTTAACAATGTAATTGAGTACAATTCTTACCAGGCGTATCAAGTGGAGTAAAAGGTCCATGAGTGAGAGTAAATGTGTCAAGTTCAACAAGCGAATGTAATTTAAGGAAGGCGCGTGAGGCAGGCGATGCAGAAGCGCTAGATGTCGATCCACTCTGCAGCAGAAAAAAATTAACTCCTTTGTTAAAGTATCCAGCAGAGTTAACGATAGAATTCATAAGTAGTTATTTTAAAGGTTGCGCACACAACAGATAAACTTAATATGTAATTATAAAACACTGGTCACACAATAAATATTTTAAATTCTTTCAGTTATTACAAATATAAATTCATAATGGGCTGGTAACTCTGATTTTAGTACTAACTTTTCACACGTTCGGTCTTAGACATAATGGCGTGACGAACTTTGTTTTTTTTTTTTATATATAAAATGGGTAATAAATATTTCAGAGAAAAGTGATAGCCGCGTGAGAGAGTATTTTTAGCAGCCGAGCAAAATATTTACCTACTAAAAAGAAAGTAGGTATACGCCCAGTAGTTGGTATTTTAATGTCATGCTGAGTGATGTCAACTGAGGCGATATTGTCTGCAGTGGTCTGTCAACATTATTATCGCAAGTACACTGTAATGTTGACCTCTATCAGAGACAGTCAAGATATTGTGGCCTACAAACATCTCTATCTTGCGACCTAAGCCGTTAAGTTAAAACATAATAATAATAATAATATACTCCAGACCGAATTACGGCCATGACGGCCTGCCTCAACGGAGGCTAGCCATCGGCGCAGGACAGGATTATAGTGCCCAAGTGTATGCGCAAGCACAGGTGCACTCTCTATTCCCTCACTCTCATAATCCGATGGGACGGTAAACCGACACCACCGGAGAGAGATCAGGCGCAGGACCAACGGCTTTACGTGCTTTCCGAGGCACGTGGGTGAGAAACCGCCAACTTGCTGACTCCGGGCAACTACTGAGAATTTCTTGACGGAAAAACTTAATAATTCATTTTTTGGCCCGGACCCATGATCAGCAGTCGCACTACTACAACCACTAGTAAACTTACTACTACTACTAACTTACTAGTAAACTTACTACTAACTAAAGTTAAAACATATAAAATGTATAATAGATATATTTAATAAGATATACCTCGTCTTCACACTCATCAGGTGTACAGCGTCGCGCCCCCGCCAGGTGGAAGGCCAGCGCCACTGAGCAAGCGCTGCCACTGTTTGTGCAGTTACTGGTTGTTGCTGTGCTTCCCGCTGCCACTTCTTTCATTTCTACGATCTTAATGGAGCGGAAAATTAAAGATTACAGAACAGCATAAAAATAAATTATCGAGAAAATGAAACAAAAAGACGCGCCCGATAAATTATAAAAAAAAATAATGATTAGTATGTTGTGTATCGATAGTATTTAAACCCAAAATAAAATAATTATTCAAATGAATTTTTTAACAAACCACAAATCCAAAAACAAACAAACACAGATTTTTCTTAAATTATTTAAGGATTATGTGACCAACTAAATGTGTACATTGCTTGTTTGTAAAATGCTACGTAGGTCACTCAATAAGTTTTGAGATGCTAGAAATTTAAAAATGGAACGCACCCGTGTTATATGTTTCTAAACAGCAAATTTATTTAAAAATAGAACTCTATAAGCCAATTATTGCTCAATATCTAAAAAAAAAAAAAACAAAGTTCTATTGATTTTCCTGCAACGCTTCCCGCGTTTTTCATTTAAAACGATGGATCTTAAGGGGAAATATAATCTCAAATGGCTTAGCAAGATCCTTCGTTATGCCGAAAATATTGCAGCATTAATTTTGAAATAAATATATGGTAAAGTTGAGGATTAATGTTAAGGATTACGTTAGACGAAAACACGATTTCGTAAAATTTTCTCGATAGAAAAAAAAATCCAAAGTTACCTCCAAAATAAACAATAAACCGCTGTTATTCATAAAATACTTTAAATAAGATCATGAAACTTTGCATACTAACTGAACTAACTATAAAGCAGTGCTTATGTTATTTACTTTTTTAAAATACCATTATTTTTACTGTAAAAAGAAATTACCTAAGCTATCGGTCTTTTGAAGCGTGATTCCTACCGCACGGTCACTTCGCTTCGGCCTTTGAACGGGGAGGTTGTGTCACTTACGATCAGAATATACATTACGCAACAGGACGACGTAAAATTAAAATGGGAAATAACCGTAATAAAAATAAGAAGCGACTGGCTTGGCGTTAAGAAACCGGCATAAATATGATAAACCTAATGAAATAAGTGTCTAACGACCTTTCTACTTACAGTATTAGTGATTACAAACAGACGCGCGGGCAAGTGGGGACGAAATTAGAATTTGAGCTAACTTACTCTATCCCCTTAACCGTGAACATTTGCGCGCTATGATCATTGAGCTATTATGTACTACGTACTAGAGGCGACACTGCATTCAGCTACTCTGTTCCACTCAACTGCGGTGCATACATCGCACTTTAATCAGTCACTCGCTAGGCACTTATAGAGTTGTCACGTGTTGTGTTGATTTAAAAAATCTCTTGATTAAAATATGCCGTCGTGTGTACTTAGATATTGCACAAATAATTCAAGAAATGTCAGTAAAAACCAAGGAATTACTTTTCGTCGGTTAATAAGATACTTAATCAATAAAAAAGTATTATGTATTAATAATAAAACAAATTATTCCTAAGACGCCATCTCGTGTCAGGGAATATAGATTATGAAATTAATATGTTCAGATGCGACATTTTTGTGGATACTAAAGTATAGGACGAATATATTATTATACACATTTATTTGTAGAAACATATATAAGTTATCATAATTTGGCAAAATTTTTCATGTTTAAATCTGCTTATTATTCTTTTACTTTATTTTTTCCACATCAAAGCCAAAGTGGTACAAATTCGTCCATTTTTAACTCTCGCATGCCCAGCACGACTTATGAACGACTTTTATTCTAATTTAAATAAATATATTTGTAATTTAAATGTTATGTTAATAAGTTTTGTTAAACATACATTTAGTATGATATTTATATTTGACTTAGATACCTTTTAAAATATTGAGATATAAATATCATTTAAATGTAATTGTGATATAATATCATGTTATATTAAATAAGCAAATATAATATACAAAATAAATGAAAAAATTTAAATATTGTTCGCAATATAATTTACCTATTTAACAATACAATTTACCTACGGGTCAATCTACCTATATTTATTCTATGATAAAAAAAACAACCGCGCGAACACAGAGTAGCGCACATTTTTTGTTTGAGATAGCTGTTCTAGTACGTAAGTACATATTACTTCAATGGCTACGATCTATTATGATTCTAAATTTGGTTTAATGGAACAATTAAGTTTACAACGGTTACAATGTCCATTAGAGGGCTCAGCTCCATCACGCGCAACAATTTTTAGGTGGTTTGCTAAATTCAGAAGGGGTAAAATTAACCTTAAAGATGACCAAAGAACCGGGGCCCCGCAAACAGCAGTAACGGCAGAAAATGTATGGACTACTGAAATGTTGGTGCGAGAAGACCCACGAATCACATATACGGACATCGAAAAGATTGTAGGCATTAGTTCGGGGAGCATTCATACCATCCTACATCAACATCTTGGAGTGAGGAAGCTTTGTTGTCGATGGATCCCTCGTTTGCTCTCCGAAAGCGAAAAACAGACTTGTGTGAATTGTTACCATGAAATGCGTCTACGTTTTGAAAAGGGCATCTAGGCGTGTTTCAGAAATCGTTACTGGTGACGAGACATGGATCTATCAATATGATCTGGAAAATAAAAGGCAATCATCGGTATGGGTCTACTCAGAAGGACAGTTACCGACAAAACTGCTAAGACCTCGCAACGTCGGCTAAAAAATGGTGGTGTTTCGCGGAGCGGACATTTGTCGACGTCAATGCTGGAAAATTGTAGGTCAGTCAACTCTGAATGGTATTACTACAGTTGCATTTCCCAAATTTTCAGTTCGGTTTCATATGTACTACTCAACTTTAACTTAGAACAAAAGCATTTATTGAGGAATCTGGTGTTGAAACTCTAAGTCACTCCACCCTACAGCCCTAACTTAGCTCCTTGTGATTTTTTTTGTTTCCAAGAGTCAAAGAAAAAATATCAATCAAGACTAGCTAGTCTTTTCATAGTTGGTTTAGGGGTTTAGGCGAATGGAACTTTGTATAGAGCATGATAGAAAATATTTTGAAAAGATGTAAAATAAATATTAATAGTATCTAAAATATTTTTTGTATAACCCAGTACTTATTGAGTGTCCTACGTATAAATAACAGTATCTCGGCGACCGAGTTTTTTTCGGGGTTGCATTAGAAAAAAATTAGAAAAATTCTTAGGGATGACACCCATCTACATAAATTTAGAAAATAATATAATTTAAAAAATAAAAAGTTTTATCTAAAAAAATATTAAAGTTAAGTATATGATATGCATAAATAAACATATTTCTTACCAATATGTGATCAGTGTGTCGATGCAAAGTGACATAGAGTCGATCAGGAGAGAGCTTGTTTAGTGGATGATCTGGTCCATGAAGGAATGGTAGATGTTCACAAATGCTGGCTGGTAAGTGTTGGAGAGTTTTCTCGCATCGACGCGCTATTAGCCAAAACCTAGAAAAATAATTCCATTAATTTGAATTATCGATTGAAAGATGCAGGTGGAGTTTTAATCGCTGTATCTAGAAAATATGGTCTTGTATGTTTGAGTGGGAATCTAAAGTTGAAAAGATCTTGGTTGTAATAGGCAACGGTTTCAAAAACTATTCGCAAGATGGCGCTTTGTGTCATTAATTTGCCGCCACCAGTACATTATTCTATGTTAGAGTATTTTTTAGATAACTGTAGTTTTGTTTTCGAAAAATGTGATGGTCATTGCATAATTGATGATTTTAATTTACCTATAGTCAACCAAATCTAAGAAATACCTTTTGACGTTTCACATTAATCATTCCGCAATAACTTAACACAAGCGTACTCACACGATTTAAAATAACCTTTTACATAAATCCGAAGAATTATAAAGTTATCTATATTTCCTTACAACGTGTATAGTTTTTTATTACTAATTTAAATTTAAATTTCTCAAACAAAGCAAAATAATAAAAAATAACCAGTAACATTTTTTACTTAACATCGTTTCAATGACAAGTCGCTATGTATATTACCGTAGTGTTTTAATGATTAAAAATCATTGTTATGCGAATAATCGGCAAAATAATTAAATAATCGGTAAAAATATTCTAATAATCGAATCATTAATTTCTTAAATGTATTATTTGTTTAATTTAATTTTTATTTTCAAAATTCCTTAAATTACATGAATCATGAATAAAACAAGTTTATTTTTTTCACTTTGTCAAAGTAAATTTTTGTAGGCAAACAACTCATATACATAGCCTTGCTAAAATAACCACTACATAATTTAAATAAACAACGGCAGGGCGCGGACCGCGAACTCAAAAAGGTCGTGGGTTCGAATCCACCATTCGACTACTGGCGTGAACCACTCGTAACACAAGCAATTTAAGCTTATCACGAGTGGTTAAGGGGAATATTAGTAATGTTTATAGCATTGTTAATATTCTTTTTAAATAAAAAAAATATCACGCCATTTCGATACCAGTTACTCGACTCCATAGAATCAGTAATTCATTTTGAGGCGATGTATACGCTTTTATAACAAAATGCCAGAATATATGCAAAATTTGACGTAAGTACACATACCTAGTTCAAAAACTTTATTACACTAAGTTTGTATAACAAGGGTTATTTTAATATTAAGGAATTTATGGATGATAAAATAAGCCCTGGGAAGAGTGGTCGCTACCAAGCTATTTCTAATTTGTTTTGTGTTGTTAATTGTAACACGCATGATTGTAAGCTCTTATTTAAAAAAAAAAAACTAGGCCCGTTGGGTTTCTTGCTGGTCCTTCTCAGGACAGAGGTATTTTTTGCGAACCAGTGGTAAATGAAAAAGTGACTTTCAATAAGTATTATTCATAATTTATATTGAATAAAAAAGTTTCTGTTTGTGTTTCGAGAGCTTACTGAGCGTAATTTTGTGATTTTGTGTTTGTCTTCTTATTTTGTGACTCGGCTTTAACTTTTTGGACGGTTGGGTCGAGTGGGTCGGCTCAACCAGGGCAGGAACACGCTCTCACAGAATACCAGCGTAAAATAGCAACGTAATACTGATGTGTTTCATATGGTGAGTATAGAGAACCGGAGACCCTTTTTACTGAAATCGAGGCATTCCATCTTAGTCCTAAGGGGTGATAACGCATTTGCATTTTGATTCTTAATTGAGGATAAATGAGTATGTATATGGGCCATAGCATCGACTTACCATCAGGTGGACTGTGTGCTCGTTTGTCACCCAGTGCTATAAAAAAATTCGTTGAAGCATGTGCCCATGTCACAAAGGATGATTGGGCAAAAGTGGTAGAAAAAACAAAAAGAATTGATTATGGATAACTTTGAAAGAGACATTAATCAATATATCAAATAATAATAATTAATATAAACAACGACATCCCTACAAGTTGTACTGAATGTGATTGAATAAATTTATTTCGAATCTAGTTTTAATCTCAATTTTTTATAACTGTGCCTCTAGAAATAAGCAGTATCAACAAATACGAAGAAATTGATACATCTTGTGTTTTAAATTATCCGTTTTTAAAATATTCTGGTATTATTCAAACCAAACCGTAAATGATTACCAACTGTAAATAATCGATATCGATTTTTTTTAAGAATCGAATATTTTACGTTCTCATTTTTTGATTGGCATGTTTGGTGCAATAAGTCTGACAGCTGTCAAAATGTATTTCTTAGATTTGGTTGACTAAAGTATAGACTGGAATTTGCTAAGTCATGTCACCAATGATTACAAACTAACAAGACTAAATCGGTTCTTAATTGACTTTACACATATGAATGGTTTACACCAACTGACATGGATTTGTTCAATGTAGATTCATGTTCAATGTAGAACAAACACTAATCTAGTAAGCTTCACTGAAACTAGTAGTAGCGCGGTATTATACTGAGCAGACGTGCATTTGGTTGTCTCTTTAAAAGCAAAAAAACTGTGTTTTCGCTATAGTAAACCTTAATCTAAAATAATAATGCAAAATATTCAACAAGTGTGTAATGTGAGCTTACGACTAGCCGATACGGATCAAGAACCACAAAGGCGTCCCGCACCACCTCGGGTAACAGACAATATTATATTTTCATCTCGGTCTCGATACCGGGAAGATACGAGCACTAATATGAAGACATCAATGCACTAGCGATTTGTTGTGACGTCGTTCTTGGTGTATGGTACAAGTCATGAATATCAGACGCTCACCACCTGGAAAAAGTAACTCGTACACTAATTTATCGTCACCTAATAACGAGTTTACGATGGAACAACAAATTACTCATAGAAAACGCAAACAGCCAGAATATAGTATTTGCAATTGCAATTGTTCGTCTGAAATTCAAGAGTTACGTAAAGACCTTACAACAATGCTACAAAAATTCACAGACACGCAAGAAACAACAATGACCCTCATGCGTGAAAATATAGTAGATATGAGAACCCAGTTAAATGATATTAAAGAAGCTGCTGTAAACCTGAACAACGAGCAAAAATTAATGAAGACCCAGCTGTCAGATCTAGTAATAAAAACAAACTATACAGATAATAAAATCCAGACATTGATGACAGAAATTAAACAGATAAATAACAAAACTAATGCTAATGAGTCTGAAATTATGTTAATTAAAAGTAAGACTGCCATAAACTTACACTCATCTGGCCTTGGGGAAAATATAATGCAATAATACATAGTGGGTTTACAAGAGGGAAATGTGACTAACAGTGAGGAAGGGCGTTCTTACGATGCTAGCGAAGTAACAAAAATTATTAATACAATTGTGGAGGACTGTCCTAAGCCTAGTAGACTCTTTAGACTCGGGAAGTTTACACCTGGAAAAAATCGAAATATTAAAGTATGCTTTGAATCCCCGCTAACAGCCAAACTTCTACTACGCAACAAGAACAAAATCCAGAGTGGCATAAAAATTTTCTCTGACCAAACACCTGCACAACAGAAATATATAAAAGATCTGAAGATTGAGTTATCCCAAAGAATAGCCAATGGGGAACAGGATATTACTATTAAATACATAGAAGGGTTTCCGAAAATAATTTCTACCAAGAACACAAAAAACTAATAGCTCAAAATATTAATTCTCCTACGACCTCAAACATGATTAAACAAAAACTTATCACCTTTCAAATTTCAGACAATTACCAGAATATTACTCCTACCAAATCAAGCCTTAACTTCTTCTATACAAATGTGAGAAGTATATGCAAGCCAGGTAAATTTGACGAACTTAATTGTATTATCCACTCTTTAAAAAAAACTGTTCATGTTGTTTTACTTGCCGAAACATGGATCAGATCAGACGACCAAGCTAAACAATTTCATCTTCAAAATTATACTCATTACTATAATTTACGACCTAATGTCATCGGTGGTGGTGTTTCTATCTACGTACACAATAATCTGGAACAGGATCTTGTCACTGCAATATATATTGATGGAAATCACTACTTGAGTATTCGCCTTCACAAATACGCCCTCAATGTTGGAGTAGTCTACAAGCCTGGACATACAAACATCAACAATTTTTTATTCAACTATGAAGAACAACTTCTACATAAGAAACGAACCATTATTTTTGGTGATACAAATATTGACTTATTAAGCTCCGACAATTCAGCCCGCCGCTACAAAACAACACTAACTGAATCCGGATACAAGTTGATTAACAAAATAGATCCAAAATATAACACTCGGGAAACCACAACAACGTGTACAATAATAGATCACGTTTCTATTAATTTAAACGAAAACAGTTTTCATATGGCCATAATTGACTCATCATTATCAGATCATAAAAATATTTATGTGGAATTGAAAAAAGTAATCACCCCAAAGAAACAAAGAATACAATACGAGTCTACAGACTTCAAGAAATTATACGAGATGGTTAACACATCAACTTTTAAAATTAATACACACGATTATAAGGAATTTGATGAATACATTAAAAAGCTCATTAGTGAAACCAAAACAAAAAAAAAATAAAATACTAAATCAACCCCAAAAAGAGTGGATTAACAGGCATTTAATAGCAGCAATTAATGAGAGAAATGTGCTATGGAGTAAACTAAAACGTGATCCAAAAAATGAACAGTTAGAAAAAAGAGTTCAAAACTAAAAGAGATTCTCTGGCACAAAAAATCAAGAACACAAAAGAAAATTACTTTTACGATGAATTCACAAAATGTAGAAATAAACCTAAAAAAATGTGGAATCTTATAAAAACACTGTCAAATAATAAAAATGTTAATCACTGTGCTCCACCAAACCTAAAAGCCGAAAATGGTATAATAATTTCGGATGCCCTAGAAATATGTGAAAAATTCAATAATTTTTTTTGCAAACATAGGAACACAACTGGCAAATAAAATACCGCGTGAGTTCCATAACAACACCACACACACAGTACCGAGCCTTGATCCTGGCATGTCGCACCGTACACTG